CAATGACATCATCACTTTCGATGTATATGACGCAATAATACCTCCATATCATTTTAATATAATATCACCAGTGATATAAATTTCAAAGTAAAGATCACACATATTTGGTTGCATTCTGAAAATAACTAATATTAAAAGAAAATGTAAAATAAACATTTTTCTTGTGTAATTCGGAGAATTTTCTAGAACCCGTTTTGTAAAAATGTATAGCGCCAAATAGGAACTGTTTTATATAATGTCTATAATAAGTTAACTTTATATAAGCTATTATGTAGGGTGTTTGTACAATTTTAGGTGCTCCCGAAGTATGTGAAACAAGATGGCGGACACCGAAACGTTGTATGTGTACCAGGTTAGGTTTAAGCCATAATTTCAGGTACAAATACCACGGAAGTCACCTGGCTAGTCCCCGAACTCGTAATAGAACTAAAATAAGGAAAATTGGAATAAAATTATGGCCTAACCCTAACCTGGTACACATACTACGTTCCGGTGTCCGCCATATTGGTTCACATACTCCGTGAGTACCCACATTTATATAGCCGAAATTGGAAATAAATCGCGTGCAACCAAACGAAGTATTGTTCAACTGTTGTTAAATTTTGCTCTCGAATACAATGGACACTATATAGATATGACATACGCATTATAGATGAACATCACTCAAATTTCTTTACTTTATTTTAACGTGATAATTTGTAAGCGTTTTCAATTTCGATAGTAATCTGATACATTTTGTCCGGCTAAAATAGTAAGAAAACGAACCACACTTGAAGACCATTGGAATGAATTTTAACTTCTTTGAACTAATTTAATTTCAAGACATTTATAGTAGAAGTATGTTCAAATTTTACTGTTCCGTATTTTGCTGCTTCACTGTTCCAAACAGGCTATTACGGATGAGGCAATTCTAATAGGTGTTGGGATCATATGACCATTATTATTCCTAACTACTTATGTATGTACAATGGGTTTAGTTTTGAAGTCATCTCTAGGCAAGGTACTTCTAGTTTGTAAGATAAAGTAAAATTAATCAATATTTATTATCCATTGCTTGATCAATGCTACGTTGATCGCAATTGACCTAGTGGTAACTATTACCAGTTTAGAGAGTTATGTCGTATATCAGGATTTACCTATCACCACTCTCATACCCTACTGCGATTCTAATGCTACTGCTAATGGTTAGAAAATCTGCTAATCAATAAGAAAATTAGTGAATGGACTTAAAATATTCTTTTTGCAAAAATAGGAATATGATTGAAATAGGAATATGATAAATAAATCCATATAGAAAGCTGCTTCATTTTCTATGTGTTACATCATTGTGCTCGTGAATAATGTATTATAATTTGACACTCTTCGGTGCATAGATTACCTTTATACGAGGTCATATTTGAAATGCTGTAGAATATTTTCCTAGAATATTTTATTTTTTTGTTTGCTTTTGGAACTTTTTTAAATTTGATTGAAATGGAATTTGAACTTCTATGTTTGGATAATGATATAATATTTAAGCTGGCTTTTAATCATTTTTCTCAATAAAACATCCAGAATATGGAACTTTGCTAGCGGTTGGTTGATTTAGATTTTAGAGCAATAAATTTTTTCTGATTCGATATACCACAAAAATATATATTTATTTTCTGTTCGACTGTGTCATATTGTTTCATAATTTGAAGGAATATGTACAAATATTAGAAGTATTTTCATTTTCTTGAACTAATAAAGGAATTCAAACCAAGACAACCAAAGCTGATCGCCAAGGCTTTGAAATGAAATTTGCGCTTTTATTTAAGCCTCTGAGCTCGATTATCGACGAAAACAAAGAGAAATAAACAGAAAATCAAACAACTAAATTAAGTTAATTAAAAAGCTAGTATAGACATTATTAATTCCGCCAAATGCTTGTTAATACGCGGATCACAAATAAAATGTTCTTTATTAGAGCTTTATAATGGACGGAATCACAAAAGTCAAACTATTTGTTTCAATGTGATTCAAATGATTGCAAAATCGCAATAGTTTTTACGATTTTTAGCAGTGTACATAAAAGTTCGAGATTGTTTATGAGATCGCCAGGTGATTTTGTTGTCTGGAACGCATTTCGTTGGATCCGTGTTCCGGTGGCACGAATTTTTTCGTCGTTGTTTTGTTATGTATATAAACTATCGGCGTCTAAGTACTGTACGTGTAATGCAGAAGAACTGGCCGCGAACCTTATCAATTTATTTCATAATTAGAAAGGTAGCTTGACTGTGACGCAAGCGAAAATTGAGTTGTTTTTGCCTAATTTAGTTCTATAAAAACACATTAATCTATTAATTGCAAAACCTAAATAAACAAAACGAAAATGATTAAAAATGGTCACATTTATTTTTTTAAATTATTGTTTTTTAATCGATAAGTAGATTTTTTGTAGATCACTGTGAATTGCGTAGATCACAATCGAACGAATTTGTTTTTCTTCATTCGTTAGAGATTATGTTCAGTCTTCAGTATTGTTAGTAATAAAATATTAAGTTCGAGCGTCACCTTGAGAAAAACTTAGACCAAAATTACATTTCGTTTACCTTCATTTAGCGGTTGTATGACTAATTTGTCTTTGTTGGTTTATTGCATATAGGTTAGTTGAGGTGAGATTTTTGAATTCCAATCTCTCAAAATATTTTTTGTTGTTGGAAACCATATTTTTCAAGAGCCCTTGTTAACATGTCACAAGTTATGATTCATCCACGTAAGGGATATGGATAAGTCTCACATTCTAAGAAACTCCTACTGATACACCGTACATGACCGATATATGCACAACAAGCAATTAATGGAGTCGAAACATGCCATAGAAACAATGTTATTTTATGAAACCATCGTCACACGCTAACGTCATCAACATGTTTCGGGCGTGTATAATCTATTCAAATCACGTGATTTTTTCACTGAAATTTTGAAAATTATATTACAGCATTGACCGCGGTACTATATACGTACAGAGATAAACAACCTCAAGGAAACAGATTTTACTGGAAGATCATGTAAGAAAAATAGCTTGAGAGGTGAAAATTTCTCTCTTACATTATCTATTGTGCCGTTACACCCCGCCAAGGATATAGCGAAGATAAATCTGCCATGAGCTTGTTCGCACGAATTCGGAAATTATCAAAGATGTATTTAGGCCATTTATTCCTATATTAGCTTGTACTTGACCGCTATATTGTCAAATCTGAAAAATGTCACTTGCCAAATTTCATCATAGATCTTTTGAAAATTTTAGGTGGTAAACTTTTGATATAAGGTTAGAAGAAAAGAACACAAACGATACCTCATTCAACGTTTTATTACTATTCTTTAACATAAAATGAAAAAGGCTTTAACGTACAGTGATCAATTGTCTTAGTTGATGAGAATGTTGAGTGATAAAACACCATCTTGTGCCCTCTGTGCATGTCTTTTCTCCATTTTCCAAAAAAAGTTTTGGGCTAAATGACTAGATTGTTAGCTAGTTCTCATTGGTAATATTCGTACTTTGTTCCCCCAAAGTTTCATAGGTTTCGTTTTTGCCCATCTATTTATCCGACTGGGAATACAATATTCTTTAAAACAATTCCATCCGATATTTAGTATGTTATTGTTGCTACAATAAATACATGTGTAGTTCTAAGCACGTAAGTAGTTTGTAACTTTTATATCAGTAACGTTTCAACTTTTTGAAGAAGCACCGTAACTTTGTAAAATAATAAAATCTAGCTTGATGTCTCTGGTTGAAGGCTTTTTAATCTGATGGCGAAATATTTGAACCCCCATTTACTGTCGAATGCGGGTCCCGGTATTCCATAAAATTGGTGAAATTTACGCAATGTGAAAATTTCGTCATTATTGCAAAAGTGTATCAGAGAATTGTGTGTCCATATTATAAATTGTTTTAATTCCAATCGTATATAAATTTCTTCAGGTAAAATATACAGTATATACAGCAAATACCTGACATCACGCGATTTTGTCTTAGTATTGCTTGGTCGTAGAAAAAGTATACCCGTGCCATGCACAAACGATGATATTTATCGGCTTTGAAGTAGAAACATTCAGATTTCCGAATTAGACTGTTGTTGATATAAAGACAACGTTAAGTACTTTATTGTATTTATTTGCCACCCTATGCTTGATTCAATATTTTGTGAGAAAATGAAAATTTATCTTGGCATGCTAAAATGACACACATGGTGAGTAGAATTTATGCTGTTAAGAAACTGCAATATCATTCTTAATTTAAACTCAAAGTGTGCCAAAATAGTTGAAGACACCATCATGTTATTTACGAGGAACTCGGATAATTTAATATTATCATGGCCTACAATTTTCGAAAAGTGTTACTTGACCAGTGATCTTGGCACAATTTAAACGAATCACTGATCACGAATCACTGTTTAAATTAATTTAATATCAAATCTAAGAAGCATTCATTTTTTTTGTAGAGAAAATGATTAAGTCGGTTGGTATGGTTCAGAACTAAAGTATTTCACACGAGGATTTCAGTGAATTAGCTAAAATTTTAAAATTGAAAATGAAATGTGTCACGTCCGCTATCAAATTGTGATATTATATTTTACTCATGACTTATGAAATAATATCCAAGTGTCATAAAATTATTCGATTAAAGTGTAGAAAACAATAATATTGAATTACAATGTATGCTTTCGATATGGCGAAATATAAGATATGAAGAATATTAACTTACGTAATGCCTGATCAGTAATAATTTTTGAAAAGAAAACGCCGCCCACTGTTTATTTGGTCATTCGTAGCAGACACAAACATAAACGGAAGGTACATATATATGTCTATCTATAGATTGTTTACTTGACAAAAAGTATTGTATGAGCATAAAATTGAATAGTTGAAGTATTTTTGGAGGCAAGAATCATAACAGTTTCTATATAACTTTCATAATTGCGTTCTATTGTATTTTTCGTACCTTACATAGTTTTATGACGTACGAAGTCTATTTTACGCCCTTTTCTATTGAAAGGTGAAGAAAAATTTCAAACTTGGATTTAATGACCACTTTTATTGGTCAGTGTGAAATAGTTAAATATATTTCTGACGATTGCTTCTGATTGGAGGCGAGAATGACGACACGGAGTACGTGATACATGAAACTCCGCCCATACACTTCGAGTTTGTTTGCAATAATTCATATGTGGATATATGCATTGCTGAGTGAACTAAGTCGTGGGGTCTAAAAATTGAGTTTCCCTGTTTTCAGGTGGAAGAAAGACTTAGAAAACAAAAAGGATTTTGGCGATATCGACGACGCTCTATGCTGAGATTTTAATTACTGCGTTAGCTAAGTGAAGCTTCTAGACACAGACTAACGACGCTTGTTTTCAAATTTTGGAATCTTGTTCTGGTATCTTATCCCAGGAGACTGTAAATTACAGCGGAGTTAATCAGGTTGATATGACTGAATTAGTTCCAACTTTTTGCAGTCGGTATACGCGCTCGTCTGTCAACACTAGTAAAGGGAAAGTTCAGGCTCGAAGTTCTTCCCCTTTACAACATGATGTCAGATGTTGCAAAGAGATTGCATTGTTTATTGGAAACCACATCCCAGAAAAACTGTCTAGTCGAGAATTAGAGTGGTATTGGAAAGATGAAGAGAAAATGCTGCACTCGCAACTGCAGGATAACATAAACTTCAGATATCAGTCCTCGGATCAGTCGGGTGCCGTTCGCGGTTTGCCGCAAGATAATTTTAAAAATTTGCGGCAAACGTTATCAACCACAAATCAACTATGGTGCGTCAGATGCGGTGGAATGATACCAATGCACTCATCAACCACCACGATTCGGAAACCTTGTCCGGTTTCCGAATCCAAATTTAACCGTGACAAACGCACATCTATCAAGTTCATAAAACAAAGTACGGAAAATGAGAAATCTTCAAGAACGAACTGTCGTTTGCAGAAAAATTTCACTTCAAATTTGGCAGACCAAAGCTTGTCATTCCAAAATCAATGCGAGAGCATATCAGAAGAAATTTTTTCAAGTCAAGGGACAAAAGACTCTAAAAAGTTTGTTGAAAATAAATGGCACAATTGCAGCAATATGTGTAAAAGAGAAAGCGAAAATTTTCAATGCCAAAAACACGGATATAAAAATATTTATCAAAGGGAGTTTATGAAAATAAACAAATTAGCGAATGGATTTATCAGTTCAGAATCATCTGAAAGGTCTACAACTTCTGGCAAAAAGGCTAAGTTCAACAAAAGTTTAGTATCGTCTACAAATATTAAAGGTTCTCAAACTTTACCAACAACGACGTCCAAACGTCTTCTTAAAAACAGGCAAAATTTAAGAACAAAATCCCTTTTTAAATCGGATTTACAAAATCGTAATAAAAAAGAAAATTTGAAAACTATTCAATTATTCAATCTATCACGTCTACTTATGACTTGGATTATTGCATTACTTGTCGGTTTTTTGAACGCTGGACGAATTCTAACCGGAACTATTATATCTCATAAAAATTCGAAGGGATTAGTATCGAGGCGTGCTGTATTTGTGTTGTGGACATTAATCGTTTTACCTGGAGATTCAAAACGGTGAGTACAACTTTATTTTCATTATTTATCATTTTTTCCAGCATGCAATTCAAAATTGATGTGTTGAAATATCAAATAACTTCACAGGTGATTCTGATAATATTTCGCTTACAATTTCTAAGTGAAATAAGTCAAATAGGCAAAATAAATATGGTTTCAAATGGCCAAGAATGACATAACAAACACTTCGATGTATATGCAATAATAATTTTAATCAATGTGTTATTATCAAATGTTTGGTTCCTTCTCAAAAAAATATTAGGCTTGAAATGAAGTCATGAATTTATAGCGATAGAAAAGTAATGTCTCGTCTCACCCGCCGCACATTTTACTAGTGAATGATAATAGCAGTAATCATATAGCTTTGTCTAGTGCTATCCAAGAAACTTACTTATTTGCACCGATGCTGTTTCTTTAAAATAAACACCGAGGACCTCACGTGTATTAGCCTGTGATATTCTAAAATTCATACCACAAATCTGGTTTTTGGCGAGAAAAAGTATATAAGCGGATTAGATTTGATAAAATCTAGACACAGTTTGTCACTATAAACAATGCTGATAACATTATGTAATGTCTATGTAGCAGATTACAGAACAGCTTATAAAGTTTAACTAATTTGAATACCTATGAGATGAAAATAGATTTTGAGTAACCGCTACATCGTTCTTACCACGCGTTCTTCCGTATCCGTTGGCAATTTCAGCCTTTCATTTTCGGAGATTTCCAAATAAAAACATTCCAACATTCCTTTCTGTCAATAACTCTACTCTTCGGGACCCTTAAATGAATTTATTTGTATCAACTGAAACTTATTTGGTGAAGTAAATGCTGAATATATCTTTCAACCTTGGGTTGGGGTAGTTGATACCAGAAAATATTATCTACTGGAAGCGTAAAACATTTTTTTTAAATTTCATGGCGATAAAAATTGTTATGTAAATATTGGGAGTGGTAATAATTTTTTAATATGTAGAAAGACTGGGATGTTTCCCAATTTCATTCAAATCAGCTATCACCTATGTAATTAACGATTTAAACCATTGCATATTTATTGGTAATATCCACCGGCCAGTGTATGTGCAAAATTTTAACGAAAGAATGAAATGTATTCAAACTTAGACGTTAGTGGACGCAATATCTAAATAGGCAAAAATAGGGTATATGTGGAAATAGGTATCCTAGTTCGATTTGATCAAATACTTAGGCTAATAATACTAGCATCTTAAATTTTGATCAGAAATATATCTTCAATAAAAATTGTCAGTACTTGTTCAAATAATAAATCGTCTTATATAGGAATTGGCAACTTACTTCAGTCAAAGCTTTTGTCAAACTGTTTCTAGAGTTTGAGACCTCTGCAAACGCAGTGAGCATACTCAAAACATTCTGGTTTCGTCTGTGGTGACATGCAGCTTTTTTAACTACAGTGCCCTATAAAATTCACAGGCCACGTCAGTGTGTGTGTATACATGTTTTTTTTTTCATTGACTGATACTTAACTATAGCTGGAGTACCTTGGTTATATTAGTGTGGAGATCTATGATCAAAACAAGAAATAAAGATAACATGATGCAGTCAATCATCACTTCTAAATCTCTATTTCCGGAAGTTATGTGTCTTGAATCGTCCCCCGAATTTCCCAAGGGAATGAAGCTTAATTTACAACCTACTATTAACAGTGACGACATGTTTCTGTGGTCGCTTTGTGACACATTAAAAATCTGGCTGTGTAACGGTATAAGCTATATATTTACCAAGAATGAAATTTATATATACTCTATTTACAAATGGCTTTGCTACGTTACAACTCAAACGCGTTCAAGATATATTTTGTAGTGCTATTCAACACTATTTACATCATTAATATTGAACGCAAATTACCCGCGCTATTGCATTCCTGTTTATGATTTCACACTAACCGTAATAAACATTATCTAGTTAGGGACGAATTTAGACAATGAGAGGCCCTGGACCATGGAGGGGCATATTTTATGAGGATCCTCTTTAACATCGACGTCAATTTGTTTTATGGAAATCCATTGTGGCGCAATACTAGGCTTTTCATGATCCATATAAATTGATTAAGACGTCATGAATAAATTTTACAGGCAAGGTACGGTGCTCTAATAACCTAGGCAAAAATACTGAGTTGACTTGAACAACACTTTCAGACTTTAAGTTAAGAAACTCAAGGATTTACCAAAACGTTCAGAGCACTGGAGAACCAACGTCATGATACCCAATTCTAGTCGCGAGAAGATGTGGAGGTGCTGGGGTTATCATTGCCTAATTACTGATAAATAAAATTAACATTCCAGTTTTTTGACATGAATGACTCTGCGATAAAATGATCCCAAATTAGGTGAAAAAGACAATGATTATAAGATTCATTGTTTCTTTAATAAATGAGTATAGCTTCATATCGATAATCACCGTACCATCATTCAGATAAAAACTGTTCAATTAATTCAAATTAGCGTGTTTTGTTTTTAAGATAAGTGAGTAGAATTTTTTTCAAATTGAGACAATTTCATTTTTAGATCTTTTTAATGGCAAAACAACTTGAAAACGAATGATAGGTCATTATTGATAATGTCGAATTCAGCAAACTTTCCCTAATGGTGAATCCAGCTCTATTTGTAGTATCAAAAAACATGTAATACGCAATTCCAGCAGTCGTGTTTCAGTCAAGTGGAAGCCTGTTTGAAAAATATAACAGCTTCACAATCAGAGATGATCAAAATTTCATTTTACAATTTTGTTTTGCTGGAACCACGCTCTCAATTTGAAGGTAGTAATAATTTGATTAGTACAAAATACTGCATGTGTGAATGCTGTAGGGCGGTAGGTGAACTATGATCTGCTCAAGTTCAAAGGTTATTATCGCGATTGTCGTCCGCGTGAACGACTGAGCAGCTTTTAGTTTTAGGAAGACCATGACTGCTACGGTGAAGCTGCTTTTTGCTGCAATGGTTTTACGAAAAATAAAACATCTGTAGTTTTCGAGTACTTACGTAGATAGAAATTCATTGAATTGGTAAGAGAGCATTAATGTGGTAATTTATATAAAAGCATATACAGATGAAGTGAAACAAACATTCCTCCAGTCCTACTCAGTTTAGATTGAATTCCATTCTTCTTGTATCAAGCTTAGGTCATGACGTGTCACTGTAACCAGTTAATCCCAAAGGTATTCCGGCCTATAATTGAGCATTGGTTTGCCCCTGGCCATATTATGTCTATACATTGTAAAGATTTGCGCTAAGTGTTTTAATTCTTTGGCGAAAGTTGTAATATGTCTACCGGTACCTTTTTTATGATCGACTGTACTCAGCGACACCTGTTCACTTCAAAGGGTTTCTGGTTTGATATTGTACGTTGTTAAATTAAAACTGCTGTTAAGCTGCTCAATGTTTGTCCTAATCCGCAGATTGTTTGAAAACAATATAATGTAAACACGATTGTTGCTGTCGTTCTGTTCAACCAATTGTGTCAAATTGTCCCAGTGTTGTAACACTTGAAAACCAAGAAAACTTTCAGTAGCTTGATGATAGCGAACATTCTGTGTACAGTGTATTATACATTATTGCAGATTCTTACTTGTTAAATTTCGAGTATTTCTGTTCTAAAAGAGATGGAGAACACAAAAAATGCACGTATTTGAGTGTTTGAACTGCAGTAGTGAGATTGAAATTTCCCAAACACAAAGTTTTGAAATCCTCGTTACATTGAATGATTTTAATCGGTATGCGCAATCACAATGTAAGAATGCTTTCAAATCATATGTATTACGTAATCGAATGAAATAGTTCTTGAGGTATTTCTTGCATTACAATAATTTTAGAGTATTCGATGCCATCAAAGAAATTCTTCACTTCATTTCACAATTATTTTTTGGAAAACATTATTTTGAAATTTTGCACTCGGAATTCTAAATTTATGTGTGTGGTCTGTCACGGTAAATCGGAAACGATTTAAACTTCAAAAATACCGTGTCGTTAGTGCAGTAAATTATACTGAAATCAACACTAATACATGACTCAGCGTTTAAAAACTAAAAAGATGCTTAAATTAGTTTCTAAGAAATCATGCATTTGATATAGGTATGATAATATTGCGGAGTCAGAAATGGTCATTTGTCGAGCACATCCAATGATCACCCAATCCAAGGTACAATCTGATAGGTCTTTAACTCATATTATTTAGCAAATGTAACTAGCAGTGTGAGAGTTCATTAAATCCATAAGCAGGCATAAAATTCACTGAAGTTTTTAATATACCCAGACTTCACAACGTTATAATAAACTCATGAAATTGACTATTTATGAATAAAGATTTCTATAATTTGCTTTATTGAAAATATTTAAATTTTAGTGAACGTATAATTGCAGATAGTTCATGATTAATAAATAGTAAAACTGAAACTTTTGGATACAATCATATGCAGGTCAAGCGTTAAATTGAATATAAAAAAAATTGAATGAAGTACTTTTTTTTCGTAGATGTAATTAGGAAATTTATGGTTCTACCTTTTGATTTCAAGATAACATCTCTGAAGGAAGATACATGAAAGGTTTCATATGTTATCACTGAAATCAACCAGTCATATACGAGGTTTCGCATACAAATTTTACATATGTGTCATAAAAGTGTGAGAAATTCACTTTATCAAATACTTAAACTTATCGCAGCAAAGCTACATATTTTGTATCATGTCCAACTTTTATCTTGGTATTAACAACACAAAAATTTGGTGTCTTCAGCCTGGGGTGTTTATGAATTCGTATCCGTCTGCTACTGTTTACTCTCGTTCTAAAAGATCGTAATTGCATCTACAGAAGCTGAAAACATTCCACAAATTCAACGCGTTATGTTCTAACGTATATCCACAGATGATATCTTGCATTTATATTTAGTAAAGTGGGAATGATACACGACCACTGTCGCCATGGTGTGTTCAGTGGCAGTGACTAAGATAATACAATGATAATTTACAAAAATTTGTCAAATACTTCAAACACTGGAAGGTACGATACCTTGGTCCGATACACTGCGGGGACACTCAGTAGCCGAGTAGATTCACCATTGGTTAGGTTATGTCCTAGATCAGGGTCGTCCAACCCGTGGCCCGCCGAAAGTTTCCGATTGGCGCGCGCGGTATTATTCGAATCCTAATGTCTTTCACAAATCTGAGCCCTTATAGAAACCTCTAATAAAAAAATTCTCGTTCAAACGCGCGAGAAGCATCACCTACAAGCTATCGAAAGATAGTGAGACATGCTTGAATTTATTTTTATCGTCTGCCATGTATTTCAATCTGTTTTCCAGTCTTTTTTCTGTGAAGCTAGAAGAGACAATTTTAGGACCCCAATATTTGACAGCATTTACTTCTACAAGCAAGTTTTTTCACGGATGAACCATGTAAAATCCCCTGTGATACACAAATTTTTGATAGCCACGTGAAAAATCCGTTCCGCATTGATACATCGTCCATTGCACCTACTATTGACAAACTCGTCTGATAAACGCAGTGCTGTCTTCCCATTCAAATATCTATGTGTGGTAAAAACTTTTGACTTTACTGTGTCTTCGCATTTCTATTGTTCTTATAATTTAGGTGCTTTGTTCGATTTCTATGTATTGTCGTCGGTGTAGTGAAAACTAGAACATGACTACCATGTCAAGTGGCCCCCGCAATCATTTGTAAACTAAATGTGGCCCTTCGTCCAAAAAGGTTGGACTACCCTGTTCTAGATGTATATAGTAGGATGTTTATTCAATTGCAAATTCATGGCCTGGAAACGCAATAAACTTCGTTTTATTTTAGCGTTCAAAAATAATTGATGCAGTGAAATCACTTTCAAAAATGGAAATTGGTATTATGGATATATAACATAATTTTCTAGTTCTAGTAACATTCTGCCGTTCTGATTCCAGGTTGTTTAGTTGATTTTGTGAAGACAGATAGAGATATGATTCAGTTCAATGTTTTTCCAAACTGTTTGAATCTTCGTCGCAAAATTTACACAAAGCAAGCTTCAGTCCTAATTTCTTATAAAATCAATGTTATTTACTTATTGGACACGAAATGTACATATGAATTGTTTTCCAAAGTATTTGTTCTTAACATTGCTGTCGTTGTTGAGGTTATTGTTACGAAGAAATGTTTTTTACCAAAACTAATGGGATAATCGTATTTCAAATTTTCGGTACTTTAAAAAGGTTGAAGACTATGGGCCCTATAGAACTTCATATTTCACCCCAAATTTTGTTTTCTGTAAGATTATTGCACCGCTGCGTGGCATTATCTCAGACCAGTCCGACATAGCTCAGCCTCAGTTTTACTGTGGCCGATATGAATTGCTACGAAAATTGGACTTGATTTGAAATTTTTATTCGGAACTTTTAAAAATGATCAAATTACGGATTCCCGTGTAAGTCGCATAAGCTAATGGAACTGCAGTTAGTCATTACACCCTAGCTTCCACATATGTGAGCTTCGCTCTCTTGTTTTATCTCTCTTCAACAACATTTAGGATTGAGCCATCAATATATATTATGATAGATACTATAATGCTGAGACAACACGCTACTGCAGTTTCATATTTTTATATTCGAGTTTGAAAAAGATTGCTGTGTTTCAAAAATTGCACAGTGAATTTTAAACAAAAAAAAAACATAATTTTAGCAATTTGTAGAGTGATGAATGATAGACAGGTCAACGTTCTTGACTCTGCAGTCTGACATAATATTATTCGGCACTTTTCAAGTTGCCCTTTTACATTTAAGTCATTCAAATATTTGAAATATAACAATTGTTTCCGACTACTTTATAACCTTTACAGAACGCCCTCGAGCCATAATACTTACGATATATTTGTATCGTAAACAGATACAACGACTTTTTTGCTCTAAACCTTGGAAACACTGTACAAACTTAAGTGTGATCACGAATTTACCATTCCTATATGCAATTTTTTCGTTGATATTTTTTCATCAATTTTTCACAAGATAAATAGCTAGCTCTTTTGAACATTAATAATTTTATTAGCTCACATTAGAGCACATGCATAAACTAAGAGTAATGTTTTACTGAATTTAAATAAAAAAAACTAAGACTACATCTGACCAACTTATAAGTGAGTGAACAAGAAAAAAAGAAAAGCAAGGACGAATATTTAGGTTCTTCCATTTTATTATAACGACCAAAACGCAGTAGCCTATACAAGTATTGAATAAAATTTTCTTTTGCGGTCGAGTCTCGAGGTAAACGCACCATGATCATTTTGTCAAAAGGCATCGCATTTTGTCAAAAAGCATCGCACAATATAAAAACAAATAAAAAGGATATTGCATCTTCCATTCTATTTGTTTCTGAGCGGATTATCTGTTACCTTGTAGTAATTCTCTACCGTGTCAAATGAGACTCACATTACGAATGAGACTTGACAAAATTGCGCTCATTCCGAAATAATACCAGCCGACGTGTGAGCTATTTTTATCAATGCGGCCTGAGCTCTTGCAGAAACAAAGGCTGGATTGTCAGTTTGAGAAAGTTGAAAATTTAATCGATGACGATTAAAGATTACTGAAAATATTGCGGCATCGAAAAAACAGGTACTTAAGTGTTAAACTTAACCGCAACTGCCTTGGTGGTACAAATTGTCTTTGATAATTCCAACTCTCACTTTTTTTAAGCATAGCTTAGCTCTGAGACTCCGTATGGTGGCGATTATGTATCTGTACACTCATACATTGCATTGTAACATAGCAACGTAAAGATAGTGAATATATGCACAACTTTGGTCCCTCGTTATATTGGATAAATTATAATGCACTGTATTCCCATTACTATATAAGCTAAAAGGTTTCACAGAAATATACTATTTATACAAATATACTATATATACGTTACAAGAACGGTGAACACAAAACAAGAATGCGAGGTGTATAAAATGATATATATAATATGGATATATATTGCGGTATAGTTAAAAAAGTAGTTGAACTATTTTTTGCGCTTGCTTAAATGAAATAGGTTCTGACAATGCAATGATATCTTTATGAATATTTTGAAAACATTTATACGGGACATCAATTCAAGTTATAATTATTTTTGTTTCAGCATGATAGAGTTGTCTGTGTTTTTATTTTATCTAAGAGCATTGCAATGAACATCAAAAATATACCAATCGACAGCGGTCACTTTACAAGCCGATATATGCAAAACGGTTTTATTGTGTTAAACTGTTGGAACGCGTTGTTAAATTAACCGTTACTCTTTCTCGAAGACTCGAAAGACAATTTTATAAAGTTTACACTCAAAATGCCATTTTAAAAATAAAGATTCATTATTTCATCTAAAAACGTGTATTTTATGAAGCACGTTCAACTGAGAGTAGTATCCAGTTGAACCTCAAAATGTACGCAGATATTAAATTTGTAACTTGCTAAAATAGAAGCGAAATAAAATGAAAGCAGACTGCATGTAATTAGCTGAAGTCTTGTTAAATATTTTTTTATTTTTAATTAAACAAAAAGGGAAAGTGATACTGTATCCAAAATATCAGCTAGGAGATCCTAAACCACGCCAATCCTTTTATTGGAGCGTCCGTGCCATAAGGACATGAAAAATAAGGTTTGGTGGAGTAAAGAGAAATTTATAATATTCATGAAACAAGCACCCATCTGTTTTTTTTTTTAAATTTTGAAGCAATACTAATGAATCCTTTCATCTCTCACAGTATATTTATATATAGGCCTATATATGGAAATGTTGAGATTTCTTAAGAGCCTAGTTACTGTATTTCGAATCTCAACTTTTTATTACAAATTCCATCATCATACGGCCTTCAAGAAGTATTTCTCCATGGTTGTCATGGTGAAATATCACAAATATCAAAGTAACGATGAACTTATGAGTGTGCTGTTATGAATTTGTGGTTAAAAATATGGAATCACAGCTATATTGAGTTTGATGTGGATTGGACGATACAGTACCGTTTAGGACGTTTTCTGCAAAAAAATACACTTACTTCTTTGTGAGCCGAATTTCATGTTAGCTCTTTGGGGCAAAAAAAGAATAATTTTAAGTAACAATACATTGCTAGAAAACGCTAGAAAAATGCTAGTAAAAAATAAATAAATATTCAAGTAAACCTGAATTTTTTTTTATTTGTGTATTGAAAAATTGTTCAAAAAGCCGATAAGGATATAGACCATCTGTCTGTCGGTCAATGTTATATACATGTCGGGTATGCAAATTGTTTAGACTTTAAAAATAAATTAATATTAAATAAAAAACTAAACAAACTTCAAGGGTTAGATCGAATTCGTAACCGTATGACATCAGTTGTCATGTGTATCATGTATCATCAAGGCGGTATTCCAGACTCTGCCAAAATTAAATTCATAGTTCTGAAATACCTCTTTACCAATATTCATTCATGCTCTTAAAATCCGATACAAAAATTAACAGTAAAGGGAGACTAGAAAAATCACTCAATTCCGTACAATTGTATTCCCTGTCGCAATAATTTGCATTATTAGATTTTTTAATATCTCTTTGAATATATATATTTTCTTTATTTTCAGAGTCTTGGGAAATTCATTACTCGTAACGCCAAGTCAATTTTGCACAAGAACAAGGTTTTTAAATGCAAGACAACAAGAAATTTGTAGAAATCATTCCCATATTTTAAAATACGTAAGTAGAAAATATAGGATTAATAGAATTTTCACACAAAGAAAATTCAAGTTTTAGATTCATAAAGTCAAGAAATCTGCTTGCTATTTAACTAATTTCTTTGTTTGTTATTTTTTACACGCTCCCATGTTTAGTATAGAAATTAGAAATAAATTGTAAAATTATACAGACACTTTTATGTACAACATTGTACACGCAATATTACATTAAATCAACTCTCTAACCACCAAACTGATCTGAAATGCTCTTATTTCAGAAGTATTGGAAGATTCACAGAGTTCTGTGAAAAACAATATTCGTCGTATTTAAAAATTGATTTCGAATTTCTTGTTTTATGGATCATGAATCAATGTTAGTCTATAGTTATCAAGTGTGTTAAAGTTGTGCATGTTATGATGTTCAATTTTTTCTCGGCCAATCAGCCATTTGGATTAAAATGAAATACTTCTAAACTTCAGATAAACTTGACTGATATATTGTTACGTGTTCTATCCAATCACTGAATCAATAAAAAAATATTGCAGGTCGAAGAAGGAATAATTCAAGGTTCTCATCGTTGTCAAAGAGAATTCCAGTATAATAAATGGAACTGTTCAAGATCCCCTAAAACGTATTATAGTCGATTGTTAAATCAAGGTGAGTCAGATATTTTTACGATAGTGACGCGCTCTTGATAATTTGCTATCTAAATGTACTTCATAAAAGCCACAATCATACGAAATTTTGAGCAGATGTGCCTGGCCAAATGGTCATGCGTTTCCATCTGTGTTATTTTATCTTCATTTTTACAGCGTATGATGTTTTGGTTGACTTGAATTGATTTTTTTTTTCAATTTATATAGTACAAAACACACAGTGTTGTTAAGCACATTTCAGTCGTTTCGTGCCCCCAAACTAGCTATGATTTCAACTACAATATATTCGATGTTTTTTATTTCACCTATTAAGGCAGATAAAAGTTGTCTTGTAAAAATATGCGTGTGGAATTTAGTTGTTTATTTGTCTTACTGAGATTAAGAGCTACCAATGTGTTAATCCGCCAAGTCGTTTGTTTTCTATGGCTGGATAAATGTGGGCCTTGATTAAAACAGTTTTCAAATAGGCGTAAACACTTTTAAAACACGATATTATCTATGGGTGTCTCCGGGAATAAGATTTAATAAACTAAATTCATAATATAAAAAATTAATTTGTTTTCTTAATCGTCACGATTTGACTAAAAATATGTGTCGTCGATTTTTACTTAAAAATAAATTCCTCACGAAATTATTATCATTTAGAATCGATGTCTTGAGCCACCTGCTCAAATTTGATCAAATCATTTTGACATGACCTACGACCCAAATGGATAATAGATTGTCCATTTGTTGCAGATTTATAAAAAAAAATCTCAGAAGAAATAATTTGAAAAATTGTTTATAATTTGACTAACGGAACAAAAATATCATTTTAGATAGTTTTTGTTTTCGTTGTGAATACATTACATCGCGCAATTAAAAAAAAAGCTTTATCTCAAATCTTGCAATATACTAGATAGGTATAAAAGTGTATCGAAACTTAATTAAGTTTATTATGTGTATTTGATGTAAAAAGTGAAAATCAACAAAATGTTGCGCATTGTTCACATTGTACATTCTATAAACATAAATGAAACCCATTAAAAGATTTCTAACAGAAATTGTGGTTAGTTATATGTCAAGTTGTTTAATGTATCGTCTTCCAGAACAAGATATTTCATATTTTTAAGACCACCTATAATGTATGAAGGGAGATCCAAGTTCGATAAATATTTCTCAAATATAATACCATTGCAAACAAAAATATTTCTAAATACTTATCATTTTGTTGTTCCGCAGAATCGTTTATGCTATATCTTGTTTTTAGAAACACGAGTGCAAAAAGCGAGATAAAAATATTTTTTTAAAGAAATGAAAAGCACGTAATCGTGAATTCTCTTATATAGAACATATTTTATTATTATTTTTTGTGGGTTTTACTTTTTTATGTGATAGAATGTCTAAGATGAATAATGAATTCTCTTATATAGAACATATTTTATTATTATTTTTTGTGGGTTTTACCTTTTTATGTGATAGAATGTTTTTAGTTTTTTGATTCAATCGCATCTGAAATTGATGTATATCAATTATGTAAATTTCTTTTTATGGGATTTTGGTCAGCTGGCAATAGAACCTGACCGCATCATTGTTGATGCATCATTCAAAAAGGTACAGTATAAGACACTTCTAGTTGAAGCTAACAAAATAACTAATTATTATTATGCGATTGAAATACGTTCAATTGCGGACCCACTTTATACCTATATATTACTGAGCCCAGACTAAACTACTTAATCGCAAAGTCAAGCTAGATCACTTTTAGGTCGAACCTGAAACTTATAAAGTTGATTTATATTTCATGGAGTTTTTATTCAATAAAATGACTATCAATATTCCCAACTAATAAGTTTGTATTTATGACTCAAATGAAGTAAAAATATCTGTTTGCGTGCCTGGATCTTCATATTTTATTTTTTAAATCAACTACTGATACCATACTTTAAAAGTCACTCTACATTAAAAAAAATATCATTTAAAAAGATAGAAACCTAAAATAATTTTTAATAAAATTAACTGCATGTAGAAAACTTTTTATCATAGGGCTGGTTTTATGGTTCATAAACAATAGTGACCAATGGTATTGACTATTCTAATGTACGGTAGCGAGTAAAATATTTCAGACGAGAGAATATTTTCAAAACTGACAGATGGAAGATGGTCAATTGTTTGAATTTATCGCACATATTGTTCACTGATTAACATGAGATAAAAATAATAGGAAATGGAAGTTGTCGATCATTATACATTAGTAATAGTGACATAGAATAACCCCAATTATATTATTCATCAATCATTACCACACGAAAAATCCCGAGTCATAAAGTGACATAAATCATGTTATTATGAAACGGCATTTTCATATCGCTTCGTTTGGGAAAATTCAAAACGTATTGATGAAAATTTCTTGTATAGCTTAACAAATTAATTTTATTTAATTTCCTACTAAAGTCAGCTAATTGTTTTTGAGACAATTGCGCGCTACTTTATTCTTAATTTGTATCCAAAGTGAATAAGATGTTTGGGGATGTGTACTGTAGGCATGTGTATTTTTTGAAATGACATTATCAACGCATTACAAATTTATAAGATGTAAGTCACACAAAAACTAGTTTTGAGTTGAATAAGCTGGTATTTTTGTAATGTATGAAATTTTAAAGGCGTTCCAGAAGTTTGTATACCAATATGAAGGTAACTAATTTTGCTTGCCTACTTTACATTAAGTTGTGTAAAGGGACTGAAACCTATGGACAGGGGGTACATTCACTTGGCCAAAACACACAGTCCCCGAACTTCTAATAGAACTAAAATAAGGAAAGCGGAATAAAATTATGGCCTAACCCTAACATGGAACACATACTACTGGAGTACCATTTTAAAAGTATACATTAAATCATGTTTCAAGAATATTAGTTAATGATATATAATAGGTGTAATAAATTTATATCAATTTAAAACATCTGTGACTATTTTCGTCGAGAAAGTTTTCCAACATTCGAGACAATTCTGAAAAAAAAACTATTTAAATAAAAAAATACTATGTAGATTTTATCCGACATACTCAACGACGACGAATTGTAAGCACATGTATAATATCCTCGTAAGTGTCACTTTGACGAAACTAATATTGGCAGAAAGAGAGTTTTTAAAAAGACACCTTCTCACAATCACATGCAAATTTCTTGGTCCGCTCCGGTTTAAGGTGGTAACTTTGTGACAGCGATCATTTTTCTAGCTAGACGTTTTAATAGAGCTTCGCCCTGTATTAAAATATGTTTGAAAAGATGATTAAACGATTGTAATAGATTTCGATCTATGTCTATTTTAATCTAAGTCATTTTATATTTACGTATATATATAAAAAAAACGACAATTTATTTTTTGTTTTACTGAATTGTAGGGTGAACCTTGCAATTGAGGAAACCATAGAAATATTTTGATTGAAAGTCACCAACCAACCTGCTAAAAGATATTCTTATTATTCTATTCTATTATTCTTTCAGGATTACACTAAATAAATAATACGTAACATAAACTTGATTTCTAGTAATTTTTTAAAAGCAATATATATGTTTGCTAATGTTGAACAATGCTAAATATTGTTTTGAATTATCGTTTTGGCAAATGTTACTTTTTTTATTCAATATCACCAAAACAATTCAAATGTTTAGTCATTTTCAAATCAGAAAATTACTATTTTTTGTTTTTTTAATAAAAATTACTTAATAAGGTATATTTTTACATATTCATGCATAGCACAAATCAAATATGTGCGATTCTATTCAACAATATAAAGTTTAAGTTTTTATTTGATGCGATAAAGATTGTGACGGATTCGATATTTTTTCAAAGCCATGCTCACTTTTGAGCATTTCACATAATCATTAAACTAACTTGAAAACCTAATTTAAACTGTTTCCGAAAAGTAACATCTTAGAATAATTGTCACGCCATTTTGAAAATTCTAACTTATGTTGGGCAGTTTTTTTTATCCTTTTCTTTCCTTTGTAAATATTTACAAAATGGATGCCATAACCTGGAACTTTGGAAAAACAATGAAAGCAAAGTCATGTCCCAGCAAAACCTGTTAATTATTGTAACGTGCATACTTGAAATGCAGCAAATAAAAGATAAAATATGCGTCATGTTCACAACACAAATATTGGTGTTAGGATTTACTTTTCTACAAGTTCCTTTTGTTTCTTGTATTAATAAACCTGTACAGTCATCTACATGGTTAATTTGCGACATCCTGTCACGCTTAATTATAATTTGAATAAATGTTATTGTCCTAAGCTGACACGTAATTTTATTTTCTGGGGTTTTATTTATGTCTAGAGATCTTTCAGATTTCGGTCTGTTTATCTATAGGAAATGTGCAATGAATTGAAAAAGATTTATGTTTTACTACACTATTTTATAAATATGTCTGAAATATAGAACTCATTTGTCATATTTATGTCACTTCTTGAGGAGAAATTTCCTCAAAATTGTAATAAATTAAATATATATGGAGAAATTATTTGATTTTTCAAACAGCATTGAGATATAATCTTTAACTTTGCACCTAACTTTAAATTATATAAATTTAATTTTTAAATTTTTACAGATGACTTATGACCACAACATTAGTCTAGACATCTTTCAGTTCTTACAAATTCGAATTTCTATTTTTCACGATTTTTCGTCATAATGGATGACTAACAGAATATATGACGTGTGTCGCTTGTGTGTATGGGATATTTTCCTCATAAAATATAATAAAAATATTGGTCATTTCCGTATAAATGAATGAAAATCGGAAAAGCAGCTTTTTATTTTCTTCAGTCGTGTTTGAGTTCATCCAAAGGTTTTATTAAGACATTTCTGCTGGCAAAAAGAAAAACAATATGTTATAAATATTAAAATTGACCAATATGAAATAATGATAATTTCAGTATAAATAATTTTGAAGGAATAATATAAATTCGAAAGTTTGCAAATATTTGAAACATGTTTTTAACGTATCTTTGTAACTCAGACGTGTTTTGTATAAGCATATATATTTGATACGACTTATTTATCTTAAAACATTAATAGACGACAATATATGTGGTGTAAAACATTTTTTATAGTATATCGGTATCAATTTACGTAAAGATGTATATAATTCCATAAAAGTTTGTTAGCGTTTAGGCAAGTTCGTTTCACATTTGTCATTCATGGGTTATTGAATAGTCGATTTTGATAAAAGACAAATCATCCACCATTATACGAGGAAAAAATAAATCGACCAACTCTTAAGAGATTCATACAGAATGATAGCATCGCAGTCATATAATTTTCTACCACGCTGCTCTTCATTTTTACCGATACTGCGATTGATTATCGCATGCAACTTCAAACAGAGTTGGGTCTTCCTCACTGAGTGCTCGTGACCTGAATTTTAAATTATTGTTATTATACATATATTGAAAGGCTGTAAACTTGCTTCTATACTCGCTCATCCCTGATTCTTATTGGTTCAATTTTGTTTAGATATTCGAGAAACTGCATACGTTAATGCAATGATGTCAGCGGCAGTAACTTACGCTGTGACGTACGCGTGTTCGAAGGGCGAAATTCCAGATTGCGGATGTGAAGAGAATTCGATCACAAGTTACGAATTACTCAAACAAGTAAGTTAGAATATACATCTGCTAAATTAAGGTCAAAGGCCGAACGTTTTGTTTTTCACCTGTCATGGTGGCACCCAAAATCATTCGATTGAGTATTATTTTAAAGTATACAAAATTATATCCATGTTTATAGGAAGCTATAAAGCGCAATTACAAAACTACTGAGGAAAATCTTCGAAAAGTTGCAGCAGAATTTGAATGGGGAGGTTGCGGAGATCAAATTGAATATGGAGACAGAATTTCCAGACTTTTCACAGAAAATTTTGGCAGAAAATTCCAAAGTAGTGACCTCAAAGCTAAAATTGAAATACACAATATGGAAGCTGGAAGGCTGGTACGTAGAATTATACTTTTCATTCAAACATATTGTCATAGTATACAATCGTGAATTATAATTAAGGAGCATACAATAATATTTCAATTGAAAATTGAAGTTTCAAACATTACCCTCTTTGGATGAAGTGTTTAAAGTAGTGGTTCCCAGTCTTTTATGGCCCTTATCTGACTTTCATCACTCATGCCGCCCCTGTTTAAAATTTTAATGGTATTTATAGTGTTGTTTTGATTGGTAGATTCCAAATCCCATAACGTTCAAAATATTCATACTCAACAAAGTAAAAACACCCGGTGAAATAACCTCATCAAGCAACAAAACTAAAAAAAACGAGCAGTTTTCTTGGTAAAGGTAAACCGCGCCCAGCATTGTGACCCCCCTTAAACTGCTTTGTGTCCCTCTTGGAGGCCACGGGCCTCCGGTTGAGAACACTGATTTAAAGCATAAAATTTGATGCTATCGTATGGCATTTTTATGAACGCGAAAGATTTCGAAATACTGCATCTAAATAGGCTTTCAAATTGATAATTTCCGTTTTATTTTGACGGTTTGAAATCTATTAACACGTTCACAAAATAATATTCTGTACTTGGAATTATGATACTTGATACTCAGTTAGGTATGACAGGATCGAAACGTGATATAAATCATGGAGACCGAATAGTAATAATAATTTTATCAGACCAAAGCAATGATTATGATTAAAAATTTGGGCTCAATTACAAATTTTATATATATGTTTGTACTGGTACGTTTTGTTGCATCTTCTATGTTTAATAAACGTGCTACGCCAGTGAAAAAAAAGATAAAAATAGTCGGGGTATGCGAAAAATGTTACTGATCACAAGTTTATTCATATTTTACAAATATTCAGTATCACAACAAATACTTTTTAGTGTGTATCATCAGATATATAGTAGAGATAATTTCCGTAATTTTCAAAAAAAGAGAATTAGGAAAGAGAGTGAACATTGCAAAAAAAAAAATTTACGCCGATAATTAGGAGAAAAAAATGCTTCGTGTACGAGCCAAATTTGATGTCGGATCTGATGTTTGAATGGAGCAAATTCATTTTATGAATGAAAGAACATTCATTCTAGTGGTGTGGCATTGTGTAATAGATTGACCAGTTTTGAAAATAAAATGATAAAAGCCAGTCAATTTCGGGCTCAAATTCGCCTTACCATATAATAACAGATAGCCTAGAACGCCAACATGAATATTTTTTTTTAATTTTTGCATTTCATTTCAGGCAATAACAAATCACATGAGAAGAGATTGTAGATGCCACGGAATCACAGGTACTTGTGCATTGCAAACTTGTTGGGATAGAATGCCGAAGTGGCAGGATGTTGGTAACCGATTACGAAACCATTTCGATGGTGCGGTTCGGGTACAACTGGCAAACGACGGCCGTTCTCTGCTATCAAAACGGAAACAACGAATTGCACTAAAACAGTATCCATATCCGAGAAGGCCTTATCCAGATGCGACATTGAACCGGTATAAGCGCAATTCTCCAGAAATTTATACCACTCGAACCAGCACCGGTGCAGCAAACATAGAAAGACGTGAAACAGAGAGACGAAGACGACGAAGAAAATTTAAGACTAAGGGTCTGAGACGTCGAAGAGGCGGAGATCGTGGGAGCGCACTTGAGGATGAGAACCTAGTGTACTCTCAAGAGTCGCCAGATTTTTGTAAGAGAAATCGGAAAAATGGAAGTTTGGGTACCATAGGTCGAAGATGTATACCGAATTCTACAGGAGCTGGGAGTTGCGAATATTTGTGTTGCGGCAGAACTTATCAAGAACACGTTATCACAGTAACGAAGGACTGCAATTGCAGATTTGAATATTGTTGTAAACTAGTTTGCGATAAGTGCACGTCGCAAGAAACTGTTCATACTTGTGTCTGATATGGCACTGGTTAGCAAAAAGGACAAGAACAGAACGAGAAAATGCGTGCATCGCATTAAACGGAACGAAGCGTCAAGCCTTTCGATAATGAAGGAAGCAGTTATCGTCTCTCTTGTAAACAAGTTGAAAGTGGACATCTCATCGAGTGACGATTTGGATGCGGCAAGATGGCCATTGTCTGGTTTAAGCAAACGCGGTTGAAGGATTTTATCCCTTTGACTGTTCCTTCGTGATGGAAATATGTTCTAAAGGCCTGGACGCAGTGGTAGTTTGTCAGAATCATAGAAAACTAAAATAATAGCATTGAAATTACTAATTCAAACGGTATTCAAATATTTGGATCAATGCAATTATCAGATGGTAGTCGATGGCTAGCTAGGTGCTGCTGCACTCCAACAATACATTTTTTTGACGACTTATAAACTTAAAGTAAATTATTTAACATCAGCATTCGGAGAAATCTTATCTGTATCGGTGATCGACACATAAGAATAAATCTTTTCCAGGAAGGGGTTTTATAGTTAAAGTATGAGCATTTGAAGTAAAATATCGTACATATTCTTGATTCACTTAAAATGAGAATTTCGCCCAAATTATTTATTTGTTTTTGTTGTAACGGGGTAGTAAACAGTCACGAAATGCAAAAAGGGTAAACTGTATGAAGAGTCTGTATTATAAATGAAGACTGTATGAACTATATCACGGTAAACTATTGATCTGAATTTTATTGTTCATAGTTAAATCGTTTGGGCATTTGAATCTATCCTGTCAACATTCTGCCATATCTAGAAAGAAAAACAAATTATATAAACTTGCCTTCTCAATCAACTTCAAAACTTACTCTAGCGCCAATCTTATTGTTGAGTTTCCTTCGTAGATCAGGCTATACACAATCTTGCTTCGCAAATAATATTGTTTATGAAATATAGTTTATGAGTATGCTTACAGTATTCGAATTGACTCATATTGCATCAAATGTGAGTTAAGGTGAAAAGGAGATATTGTCATATTGATTTTGACTACACGAGAACCAAGATGAATTAAATCCACAGCAACATAGATGCACATTTTGAGTTTCATCACGCTTTTTTGTTGTAAGTGGGGTTATAAGTTACCACAATAAGTACTATTATGAAATTATTGTGGCAACGCAATCTTTTAACACATCATTTTGAATACATAATGTTACTTTTTTATTTAAACGATAAATTGCCAGACTAATACGAACTAGTTAGTTTTCTTTACTTCCGTTTACGACTTGTATGATATTCGAGTTTTTCATAATTGCATTGTTGAATGACGTACTTTTCTTTTTATTTATTTTGATTTCAATTTCCGTTTACATTATTTCTTACTTTGAATTCATCTTTACTTCTAATATTGTAATTTATTTTCGACAATGACTGACAGCTTGCTTGTGACATAAAATATTAAAACAACTCAATACATCGCATTTATTGGTTAAAAGTGTCAAAACTGCTACTGTGTTACGCCTTTATGTCCTCATACCATTGATTTTTAACATCAATATAACCCGTATATTGTTATGGTTGTCAAGAGTAGAATACCGGTATGTAGGTAGGTATTTTCCACCTTACGGAAGATTGCTTACTTTCCTTTTTGTTGTTGTTTCCTTGTCATACAAATCACACACTTTTGGCTATAGAAAAGGTCGCAATATTTTGTCATGGCATATTATTCCAATGTTTCAATATTCGCACCAATGTGGGTAAGATGTACAGGGAATTGAGTAGTTTGGCAGGTATTTAAGAACATAAATATCATCATCATGTGGACGGGAGAGACAGATGTTTTTTGATCATCTTCCTGCTCTGACAACACCAGAACTGTTAATAAATGAAACGCGTAAATATTCATGGTACATAGTTTATAGCATAGGTAAATATTTTGCGGGTTTATTCTCCAAATGTAAACAAATATGTGTGACTATATACATGCATGAGGCTGTACACGCATGCAGATAAACCTCCGAACGCTGAAAGTACGTTTTATAGTATTTCACATTACACAAGCCTCGCAATTGCGCAGAGACAAATTGAGAAGAAAGGCGGTGGACGACAGTGGGGCACGTAAGTGAGTGAGTAGTGTATTATGTACGTAGCTAGGCAGGTTCAGTTGTTAGACTCACAGTATGGAAAACTTTGACTTTAAGTACAATCAAATGCTTATATAGGACCATGTTCGGAGAGAAATCAGTGAATAAACGTCGTATCAAAAAATGACTCGTATAATCATACGCAAACAGAAGTTCAAGCGCAAATTGAATTGAATTATTTTTTTGGACATAGTAAAGAATTTTTTGGTTTCCGTTTTCTAGATAACCCTGAATTTCTAGAAGCGAAAATGCACCACTACCATTGGGTTTATACTTTCAAACTCATGTTCAGTGTTTCATCTTTTTGGGAACAGAATCAAATTGAAAAATTCTCACGAGTGAGATCGGTTTAAAAGTTTTTTATTGCTCTTGCCAGCTCATTCTTGGCAGAGCGAGACTCAGGACAGGTTTTGACTGAAAAGAAGTCAGATATTATCAAGCTGGTGGCATTTCACTAGGCTCAACCTTCACATTATACTAATGATAAATGAAGAATAAAGTTGCTTTGACTTTTTTGTTAGGGGGGGCGTGTGCTAGTTAAAAAGTCGTTCAAGGGGGCGCTGGCAGAAAAAAGTTTGGGAAACACAGCTAAAGCCTCTGCCGGACTGTCAGTATCAATAGGTTCATTAGATAGAATGTCATTGTTTGATTGCCCCACAGTTAGAGCTCCCTATGTATTAGCGTTTATGTTTAACATTATTTTTCAATCTTCATGGAACTACGCGATTAGGAATCAAATGACGCTCTACTCGCGAATGTTCGATGAATACAAGTTATGGAAGAATTTATCAGTACTGTGTCATCAAAGGCCGTTTCCAAACTGAGGTAGATTTTCGTTGGAGCGGTTTTCAAAAATTCATTAGTGTAAAAAAACTGAGTAAACTCCATGTAATCGTGTGGCGCATCGAGTTAAGCGCTAGGAATACGCTTGCCACTTCACCTATGCTCACCCTGCGTTCGCAATCATGCGCGAGAGGATTGCTGGACTTGCGCCGTAGGGTGGTTCACGAGTACGAGGCCGTTGTTCGCCATAATAAAGTCGTCTTACCGCTTTTTCTTTGCCTCAGAATAACTATGTAAATCCTATTTTAAAAGCGGTGATAAGTAAGATCAAATCCAAGGCTGGGGATAAAACTCAAAATAAAATTGATTGGGTTTTGAAATCAGCCCATAATTAATGTCTTCAACAGCTGTCGCTGATGTGAACGCACAGGTACTAGAAATATAAAACTTTGATATCCGGCGACCTCTTTTTTATACTTGCAAAAAACGAGGAAGAGCGGGAATATAGATTACCAACTTTAGGATATCGCCGCCGAAACAATCGCGGTGACAAAGACAATCAGCGAATATGATAAAATTAACCAATAACATTAACCAGTAAAAAAACGCTTTTATTACCGACTTTTCAATGTTTCTATTAATTTCCAAAGGGAGTATCGACCTCCGACGTTCTGGATCCCTGTTATGTATAAAAATATTCAAATTAATCAATTCGAAAAAATATTAGATTTTGCCCACCCTAGCCATTTAATTTGGCTTTGAGGGCGCGGCGGTGTGGCTCAACGGGTTAAGCGTTAGGAATACGCTCGCCACCGCACCTCTAATTACTCTGCGTGGGTTCGCAGGTTCGATTCCCATGCAGGGATGGTTATGTGCGAGAGGATTGCTGGACTCCTCGTCGTCGTTGGGTGGTTCACGTAACCGCTTGTCGGTTACGGCTTCCTCCACCACCAAGTCCATGCTTCCGAAAACAAACAATACAGTATAACTAACTAATCCCATACCCGACTTGAAATGGTAACCGGACGAGAGGCCGTGGTTCGCCATATGGATAAGCCGTCTTATCGGCTTTCCTCTCCCCGGGGATAAATATGTAAATCTAATCCTAAATTGATTTATATTAAGTTTGTCAAAGCGGGTCGTAATCGTGGAGGATGCAAGGTGCAGTAGCTGGTTGAGATGATCGCCAGATATTTCGGGACTATATTCGATTACTGAAACAAAATTAAAATGCTCCAGAAATTAAAATAATCATTGGGTTTTTGATTTATACATAATATTCGGAAATGCGACAAAAACTGAAAAATCCACGAAAGTGAGCCAGTGAAACAGCCATGTCTAAAATCTCTTCAAATGAAAAGTGTCGGAGTGGCCGCGAAAACGCTTACTGTTGCGTCACTTTTGCATATTGTAGATTAGTCAACGCTACCCAAATAAAAACGGGGGAATCCACTCGGCTAACTGATAAACTACCGCATTTTAATTTCAAGTCAATGATTAGTTTTCAATAAAAAATTTTCTTTGAAAGTATTTGATTTTTAAAGCATTAACTAGATCCGCAGGAAAGGTTGAAAAGCCTAGTTTGAGAATCACCCCAGAGTTAGAAGATCCATCATGGTTTACTAGCGCCGCAAGTGTAAGTCGTATATTTCTTAGCTACAGCGAAAGCGTTGACATGGTAACTAATATATCGCAGTCGGTGTATCAACAACACCACTGCAGCAGTAATGCGATGTCAAACATTGAAATTTTCTGTTATTCTGTCAACTTTAATTTCGCGACATACTCCTATCTTCGCAGAGGAATATCACGGTATCGTCGCGTATCAGATTGTCAGTGTTTTGTTAAAGTATCTTACTTATGTATATCTACAATTTCTGAATTTAGACTTTAGGCGCGGCGGTGTGGCTCAACGGGCTATGCGTTAGGAATACGCTCGCCACCGCACCTCTAATTACTTTGCGTGGGTTCGCAGGTTCGAATCCCATGCAGGGATGGTTATGTGCAAGAGGATTGCTGGACTCCTCGTCGTCGTTGGGTGGTTCACGTAACCGCTGGTCGGTTACGGCTTCCTCCACCACCAAGTCCTGAAGTCCATGCTTCCGAAAACAAACAATATACCTAATCTCATACCCGACTTGGAATGGTAACCGGACAAGATGGCCGTGGTTCGCCATATGGATAAGCCGTCTTATCGGCTTTCCTCTTCCCCGGGATAAATATGTAAATCCTATCCTATCCTTATACTGTTAATGTAAAACCCGCCAACTTCTTTTGCCTTTGGTAATTTTTAAAGTAAATCCTCATTCCTCTGATTCTGTTATCATCTTCAATCGCGCAGTCTAATATATTTTTTTACTAAAAAAATCACATTTTATCAAAAAAAATGACACTTCGTTTTTGAGCCGCCCAAAGCGTTAGTTCTACCAACGAAAACTTTGTCAAAATATCGCAATTTGATAAAGGGTGTTTTCAATGTATGTAAAATATTAGACTGATCTTGTTATGCCAAAGGAGATTTGACGTGAATTGAAAATTCAAATAAATAAATTTTATCCAAATAACAGCATTTTATGCATTCGTTGAACTTGAAGTAACCCCGATGTTGATGACTATTTGCTCACTTTGAAGCTGACATCATGTTGCATATCTGTTACAGATTTGACATTGAGACATCGACGGGTTAGCGTAGATTTGAAAATAGCATCGAAATTCTTATGATTTGATCAAAATTGTTTAAATATACACATGAACAGTTTTCTGCATATCTACGTATGTGTGTGTGAATTAATTTATATACTTTCGGGTTAAAAAAGATCTTTGAAATCTGGTATATTGGTCTTCGGGTTTGGGGTGATGTACCACCTAAAATAAAAAATGTTCAGCTAATACATTCAACAAGAATATGGAAAAGATCTTGTTGTCCAAGTACACAGATGTGTATACTTATGCCTGATATATTGTAATAGTAAATCTGTTAATTTAGATTATGTAATATGTTATGAAACCTTCATTTTACTATTACATAATTAATTACACATTAGTATTTCATTGTTTTATTTCTGAGTTTATGTAACTTCTTCTGAATGTGGGAGTTATTCTTAGAATCTGAGAACTCTGTCATACTGTATTTATGGAATGTTTTGCACTACCTCAACTTGTCATTTGTAAACTAATTCTGGAGCAAGTTTTTTCCGCGAACATGATTTGTCTAATTTTCTCATTCAAAACAAGAATTATACTAATGCTTTGCTAATATTGTGATTTTATTCAATTTTTTCAATTTTCTGGATTAATATGCAATAAGAATTAAATCATTATCATTGCTTATTATGTAATTTTTCAATAGAATACCTAACACAGCAACAGTAAATAATGATTAATGGGTACTGCCGTAGTATCTGTACGGGGTTAGGGTTAGGCCCTAATTTTTTTTCGATTTCCCTTATTTTAGTTCTATCAAGTGTTCAGGGACTGTCTTTGTTAGCCAAGTGGATATACCCCCTGCCCATAGGTTTCAGTCCCTTTACACAACTTGATGTAAAGTAGGCGAATAAAATTAGTTACCTCCATATTGATACACATACTTCTGGAGCGATTAATGTCTACAGTGTAATGTTACAGATATGGATGGTCTAAAGTTAACTAGTAGTTTTGTATTTTGAGTGCATTTGTACATAAAAAGCATAATTTCATGATGGCTTCAGGGATGATACTACCAGAACAATCTGGATTGAAACTGGGAACTAGCTTCAATGAACCTTTTCCAGTTAAAGTAAGTAGTTAGTATTTATTTCATTGCAATAGTTTAATGATATCCATGTGACCAAGTAGTTTTTAGTTTTTAAAAGTTTTGTCTCTTTATACTTGCTGGAATGAGTGAAAATATGAAAAGAAAAGAGGTTTATTTGAATAAGGGCAACATGGGCTTATGTCTGTATGTAATATGACACTAATGACAGGGAGTTTGTGATATGAATAGGACTCCCTACTAGAGTTGAAATAGTCTTTTTGTTATAACTATTGCCTATCAGTCCCAACTATCCTCAATCATAGTAAGCTGAAATTAAAAAAGAAACAGAAAGATCTTTGTATGGTTAGGTTTCAACAAAGCTAGTTAATCAGAATTTACTTATCTATGAAAAATTAAATTAATTTCTTGTAAAATCAGTTTTGTCAAATTTTCAATGTTTGTATAATAAGAATATGAGATGCAATCTTACAGGTGGTCAATCTATCATGAAATAAGCATGAAAAAATCCTCCTTCTTTTTTGTCAGTAAACAAAATTGGGACCTCCTGAAGTATGTGCACCAAGATGGCGCACAACCTGAACATGTACCAGATTAGGGTTAGCGACATCTTAGTGCGCATACTTCAGGAGCACCCAAAATCATGCTTGTAGATTAAAACATACCAATGACTCTAGATTTCTGCACATGATTTATTTTACTATAATCTTATTTGTTTCATTCAAACAGTCTGGAGTTATCTCAAAGACATTGAGTCCAGCTCCGCCACCAGCATCTGCAGCTCGTACTGCACCTTTGTCAAGGAGATATAGAAAAAATCTGGTATCTCAGAATAGGTAAAAATTATTATAGGATATTTTATTTCTATTGAACTTATATAGTAACACTGAAGTTTCAAAAGCTTCATAGACATTTTACATTATACACATTATAAGTCAAGTATGGAGTATCATGTCACTGATCATTTACTGGACCACAATAAATCTCTATCTGTTTCACTATCTATCGGTATTCCAGTTCTATATTTCTTCTTTACTTCTGATGTGACCCCTTAATAATTTGCGTAAGTTCTTTTTAAAAATATTTACAGTGATATTAATTGTATTAAAATTTAGATCAGAGCATCCCACATTAAGACAAAGATCTTTAATAAAATCCAGTGCTTCAGCGAATACACAGCCACTGGGGTAAGATATGTTATTTTTTTGTTGTTTGTTCGAAGAATTTATTTTCCACCAAACTTGAAAAGTGTGATTTTTGTGCGATAATACATTAAGTGAAATTGATATTTTAATAACGAAATTGGCCCCATGTAAATTGAAATCATGATTTATATCAAATTTTATAATTCAGCAGCAGTTGCTCATTTGTCTAATTATGTTAGCTCGAGATTTTAGATTACGGTAATGCTTTGCTCTGTCTGCCTGTTGACTGGTGTCACTACCTCACATAGATTGTATCAACCTATTAAACTAAGCAAGTTATGCTAAAGCATAAAGATCCTGGCTCGGCGGTGTGACGCATCATGCTAAGCGTTAGGGATACGCTCGCCACCGCACCTCCGATTACCTTGCGTGGGTTCGCAGGTTTGAATCCCATGCAGGGATAGTTATGTGCGAAAGGACACCTCGCAGCCGTAGGTTGGTTCACATAATAGCTGGTCGATTTCTGCTTCCTCCACCATCCTTCCGAAAACAAATAACTGGCTAACTAATCCCATACCCAATATGAACTGGTAACCCAACTATTGACTTTCTTTTCCCCCTGGATAAAGATGTGAATCCTATCCTATCCTGGCCCTTTCATATTTTTGTGAATGCTTCTAGAGAAAATTGGGTGCTCCAGTACTATGCGCACCAAGATGTCACACAACCTGAATCATAACCGGTACACACATACTATGTTCAAGTGGTGCGCCATCTTGGTACGCATACTTCTGGAGGTCCGAAAATTGTTCCTATCCTAACTTTGAATCTTTTTGTTATATTGAACTTATAGTTTCAAGATACAGGCTTACGTGCAAGTTCAGTGACTTAATAATGTCTGTATCATATAGGAAGTAGGAACATGTATATTTATCCAATTACAGAGGACTTGGCTTAGAAGTTAAACCAAATGAAATAATATGGCGAGGATGGGAACCTGGAGAAGAATATACAAAAAGTTTAACTCTGAAGAATATTCACATAAAAACACAAAAGATAAGGTACTGTGATTTAAACGCCATGCAAATGAAATTTAATTTATTTGTTCCTCGACTTAGCTTGTATCAAGTATGAATGTTTTAGCCTTTATCATTATGATCAGGAAGTTTGTATAAGAAGTAAAATATCTAATTTATTTTTTTTTACCATTGTACCGGTATTTTCCATTTAAGACCAATTAATGTGTCAATTATGGAAAATGATTCATTTGAACATTTAGAGTGCTTAGTGTGTCCGTTGAATTATGCTGTTATCCTAGTTCATCGAAGAGATTAATTGTTGAGTAGTATGCGACCCAAACAAGTTCATGGCTATTTATGCTATTTTGAAATTTGCTAATTCTCTGTCTGTGTGTAATGATTTTCTGTAGGCCTATAATGTTTCGTTTTGATCCACCTAAGAAATAAGATATTGACTTTGTTTATTGAAAAGTATAATATTTTGCATGTCATTACTAAATCCCAAAATTTTGGTTTAAATTGATCTATATAATATCTTTCTTGTGGTCAACATTCAATCCATTTACCAAGCTTGTAAAAAAAAATTGTCACTGTGTTACTTTTGCGACGTAATTGAACTGGGCCTTCAGCATCACCATTTTTCGGCAGCGAGTGTTTTTTAATCCATATATTTGTAGGAAAGGCACATACACATCTCACATTTTAATTTGAATTTCTAAGATATTGCTCGATGTCACATCATGTTTTTGTTTTATTGTGTTTTGACTGATTTTGGGGGACGGGCACGTACTTGTACGTATTTAACTTTATTATTAAGTTATGCCCGTCCTCTAGGTCCTTTGTATTTTGTTCGCCCTTTGTTTTGTTTTTTGTTTGTATCAGAGTGACCAAATAAAATTGATTGATTGATTAATCGATTGATATTTTATTCATATGAACCTAATAATAATGAAGTGCAAAGTATGTTAGAATTCGAAATTTAAACATTATTGCTCACACAATTTTACACAATGTCTTTGTTTCATTCGAATATTTTATAAAATGTTTTCGAACTACCGGTAGGCATGTCATGGATTCGTTTATCGCAATAAATAAAATATGCCAATCTATTAAAAAAAAGGTTTCATATTTAAGTTAACTTGCAGATGCTGGAAGTATCTTTTTCAACCCAATGCTTTTATCAATACTTCCCATTTTATCTAGATACAAAGTTCCATCATCTCGATTCTTCAGCACATTATTTCCTCAAGTTATTGTATTAAGTGCGGGCACAAGTTTTACATTGCCTTTAACTTTCAAACCCCTTGAAAAGGTATGTTATGGCCAGTGATCTATTTATGTATATATTGATTTACTATTCGATTAAGATTTATAGGGTCGGGGTATTCAAGTTACCAAAGTTCTGTTATCTTCAGCAAATATGGCTTTGGCAAGCTGGGATGTTCAGAAGTTTATTAAATGAAATATAACAATCTTTAAAAAACTATTGATAGAGAATTTGAATAACCAATATTTTTTTTTAAAAATTTACCAATAATGTTTCAAAAGTTTGAATTTTTACAAACTTGTAAGATAAAGTTTGCCACATACATTGTTTTTCTGTAATATGAGGTTATTAATAAGATCAGCATTTCCCAACCTATAAGTCTCGAACCGCCAACCCAAAGCTAGGTGCCTGAAAAGCAGCTTAGGTCGCTTGTTTTTTTCAACGAAAACTCGCGGACATAAATGTACTACATACGTTTAGTATTTGAGCATATCCTCGGATCGTTATTTTTTACAAAGTTAATTTTTTTTTTAAATTTGGGCCTTTCACAATAATGTTTGGTGCCACTAATCTAGATTATACAAAATCAAATTTGACTTGAAAAATCTCAAATCCTTTAGATATGATTGGAAGGTAACTAGAAATACCATTATATAATATTCATTTCTTCGAAGATTGCCTATGATGACAGGATTGAGTTTATCACTTCAGAAGGAACTTTTTCAATTGTGCTTCGAGGTCTCCTGCCAGAAACAAACCTTCATCTGCCAGAAAGTCTGCACTTTGGTCTTGTAGCTGCTCATGATAATTTGGAAATTATGTTTGAATTAAAAAACATGAGGTTAGTATTTTTCACAATAATTTGTTGTTCGTGTAGATATTTTTTTTATAAATCTTTCTATATTTTTAAATTGATGGCTTATGTGCGAATTTTTATTGTTAAATTTTGCATATCGATAATACGATTTCACAGTACATTTAGGGGATATACCACTGATGTGAGTTAGTTTGTTCCATGTCAAGGCCTTGTGTATAGATAAGGTGATGGACATGCACCCCTTTGCTTGAATGTTATTTGAACATTTTGTAATATGCGCCATAAAAAAACTAGATTTTTTGCATGCAAGTTATCATTGCAAACTCACAAAATGCTAAGCTTGAAAAATTCTTTTCGTTCATACTATATTGAATGTAGCTGTTTTTAAATGTCATATCGAAATCTGATTTCGTTCAGTCATACATACAGCATACTTGCTGTCTGATGTTTTGAATAGGTCCTCATTGGATCAAATTTCAAATATGGCTTTATTCTAGATTGTTGTAGAGCTTTGTTGCACACTAACACAAATGCTGCAGGATTACAGTGTGCAAAAAAACTTAAAATTCTGCTTTATTTGTGCTGTAGTACTATAAGTGAAGTGAGAGAATCCACTATTGGAAAGGCATGAATAGGGGAAGGATAGCTAGCTAGTCTTGCGCAACCCCAACTGATAGTTAGTAAAACCCTATTGTTATCCTATTTCTGATATATTCTTCTTATATTATTAGCACGGAATTGATGACAAATTTTTCTTGGGAAGTTCCAGAACCATTCACTATACTTCCACCAACTGGCTCTATACCACCACGGGGCTCATGCAGCCTAAAAGCTATTTTTCGACCACTTTCCGCATCGGTTTTTGAAACACATGCAATATGCTGCTATGGAGAGGATAATTTACTCAAAAAAGTGAAACTGGAAGGAATAGGTATGCGTATATGCTATTAATCACCATCAATTTCATGCTTTCAAACTAATAACTAACTAATCCCATACCCGACGTGGACTGGTAACCGAACGAGAGGCCGTGGTTCGCGTTTTGATTAAGTCGTATTATCAACTTTTCTCTCCCCCGCGATAAATATGTGAATCCTAAATAGAATTTATGTTTTCAGGCAAATATCCTCATTTGTTGGTTAACACCTCGGATAAAGCAATATCGAAATATCATGATGTGGCGGTACTAGATTTCAAAGAAGTTCGAGTACATGATACAGCTGTTCGACCAATGATATTAAAGAATTTGTCACATGGTAAATTAGAATATAATTTTTAAATGGGGTTTTTAGGTCTTCATTCCGATCAAGGCTCTAGATTAGGGTTACCACATCAAATAAGACACAATTCCTGATAAATTTATGCCAGTTATGTTTACCTATTTTTGTGAGTAAAACACTTTTATTATCCCAACTGCATACGGAATCAATACTGCTGTCATTTCCCATGAAAATATGGTCAATACAGAACAAAATGAAGCATCAAAATTGATTCATTTTACTAAACCAAATACCTGTTGTTTCTGAGAATAGCAACATTTATCTAAACATATATATACCACAGAATTAATACACAAGAGAGCATGGAAGGCAAAGAAATAATGTATTGACTTATAAACAATTGTTTCTTCGGCTACGCATATTTTTACGAACGTCTAATTTTTTCCAACAATCAGTGTTTTTGAATTCTTATATTAATATTGTGTGGAATTTGATAAATTGCTCGCTGGAAATTTTGTTTTTATGAAAGGGCTAATTGTACTTCTGGGGTAATAGTTCTGAAAACATTATTAAAAGGATTTCACGTATCCCAAGTAAAATAGAATGGCATTGGATTTTATCATAGACAATTAATTATTTTAATATATTTAAATTGTTTTCTTTTTCTGTTCTATTGCTGAGATGCCTAAAAGAAACAATTGAATGTTTTATTGTTTTATATGCGAGATAGGTAGGGGTTAGATCGTTGAAATCGCACATTAATTAAGATTCAATGTTTGTGATCCTGTATGTTGAGTTGTTTATTTCACACTTGGTGTGATAGAATACATTGAACTGAAAAATTAAAGGTCTCCCATATTTCTAAGTAGCTTCATAGGCTTAGAGCTTACTTAATTAATAAATCCTTGTTGTAATTTCAATAGTCATATTTTCTTGTTATAATTTTTTTCTAGTTCGTGTTCCCTTCAAGATACAACTTTCTAGTTTTACACCTGATATAGACAGAGCTTTCATCTGCGCTATGAAGGAAGGAATTGTTCCACCAAGTTCCAGTATATCAATTCCGGTAATTTGTGATTTGATTAAATTCCATTTAAAATCTATTAATTATTTTTTACATTTAAAGCTGTTTTAGTAGTACTATAGTTATCCATATTTATGTTTTTCTATAATTTATTTTTGTAAGTTTTGTCAAGACAACATTGGTTGGCCATTGTATGACCATCCTCCTCCACCTAGCTCCTCCAGTTGTCTGGCACCTGAAACTGACAAGCTGGCGATTTTGACACAGTCCTAATATCAACTACAGACATTAAATGACGTTACGCATTTCGACAGAGTTGGATGCCAGATAAATTTATATTTGAAATTGTTTTTAATGTAAAGTAGAGTAGAAATCAAGTTATTGCATCGTTTCTATGGTTGTCAGCTTTAAATCTTGTTACTAACAATTCTTTTTAGGAGAGATGTAATGTGGTTTATTTCTTATTACATCATAAATCGCATGAATACTCATGCAATTATCTTTGCTTTACACGTTGGTCCTCGTCACAGTTTCTGGCCAGTTGTGGGATTTATTTGGTAAATAAAGAAAGTCGCTATTATTGTCTGATTACTAGGGCTGGGGAATTTCAGGGAAAACACTTTAACCGTTAACCGGGTAAAATTACCCAGTTAACCGCAGTGTGACATTTGATGTAATAATTCATAATTTTAGCTTGTTATGTCACAATGGTTACAAAGCAATTTCACGCGATTTTATCCCGGTATCTCTCAAAATTATTCACGAATAGAGATAGTTTCGTGATCGCTCTGCTGCAAGAGATATGCAGCGTGCTTCGGACATATGGAAGTATCTTAGTAAAACCCGATTTTGTTATTAAATGTCATTTATATGTCAAATTTTCAGTGCTCGATGTGCAAATCCTACTTTGAGTATCATAAGGAAAAACAGAATCAACTGCACATTGAATAGACGATTTTGCAATAAAATCGTGAACAATATATTTTTACTGAAAACTGATTCTGAATTAATCTTTGTCAAATTTTCTTAATTAGCAATCTTGGTACCTCAATTTATTTTCACATTTATTGGGTTCTTACCACTACAGTTAGTGATATTCCTTTGAATTAAACGCCACAGAAGATAAATTTGCGATGACGTAATGATTTTTGAAGAAATTGTACATTGTAAAGATGATTTAAACCTGAGATGTCAGTTAACGGTTATAGTAAATCGTAACCGTTAACTATTCAAAATCAGTTAACCGGTTAACCATTCCCAGCCCTGATTACATGTGTACTTCTGTTTAACAAGAAATTTGAATCAACTCAAATTCTTTTTTATAGATCTGCTATAATCCGAATGTAGTTGGACAAGCCAGTATCGATTATTTTGAAATTTCTCCGATTGGTATCAGCAGCAAATCTATTGTTAAATGCCAAGGAAATTGCAAAGGTGTGTTTCTATTTGTTAATAACATTGATGATTTGATTGTAATTGATGTCGTTATATGCCGTCACTCTCAACAAATCTCAGTATAAACAGCAATTTATACGCAAGAAGCTAATAATTTTGGGATGACTGGAATTTTTCCTGTTCGGCATTGCTTATCCAATTTTGTTATACCTAGGATGAGGGCATATGGGGTATGAACCTGAAATTTTAACCCCATATTGCCAACCTTTAATAGGTCCAACGCTCCTGCTACTAAGCTATTGCCCACATAAATAAGTTTTCTTACAATATAACTTTATTTGGTACTCCTGTAGTATGCGAACCAAGATGGCGGAAACCGCAACGTAGTGTTTCAGATTAGAGTTAGGCCATAATTTTAGGTACAAATACTACGGGAGTCACTTGGCTAGTCCCCGAACTCGTAATAGAACTAAAATAAGGAAAATTAGAATAAACTAATGGCCTAACCCTAACCTGGTACACATACTACTTTCCGGTGTCGGCCATCTTGGTTCACATACTTCTGGAGCTCCCTTTATTTAAATACCAGAAATTTATATTGGATAAATTCGCTAACCGTTTTGTTAGTTCAGTATAACAGTATCTTTTATATCCATTTTGTTACTTTAGGACCTGCTGTTTCTCTCAGTCTCCCACTGTTGAACTTTGGACTGGTATCATCTGAAAAAGAAGTCACGAAAACTATTGATATCACAAACAATTCTAAGTGTGAAGCAGTGTACCAGGTATTATATATTAGCCTACATACCGTACCGTACTAGATAGATCTTAAATAGGGAGAGGGCAAATGGATATGTATTTTGTTTTTGTCAGTTAGTTTATCGCCTGTTATGCTGATTATGGAGTCAAATAAACTTATATACTTATGTACAACATAGTGATAGATAAAAAAAAAATAGGAATCAATCAAGAATAAACTTGCCACCACATTATTTAGAATTGGTTTCACATATTCATATTTTTTGTGTACTATTTATTATTCTGTGTAGGGGACTTTTGTCCTACAGTATGGTAGTTCTTATAATAAACACAAGTCAAATATTTTCCAGCCATATAATAGGATCTTTTTTTGGTATGAAGAAAGTTGCAATCTGCTCTTTTTAGTCAATTAGTAAAAAACAATATATGTGTGGTCTTCTTGAACATGCGGGCAAAGTGCTAGATTTAATTGTGTTGGCACTTGGCATTAAACATTAGGACACCTCATTCGTTGTCTCTTAAATTGGGTAGGCAATGCTGAACGATGCATTGTTCAGAGCAAAACTTGAAGTCTATATTATTTCTTTGAAAGAATCAATTATAACAGACAAAATATGAAATTAACAAATTTTTTTGATTTGAAACCATTCCAGATTCTTCTTGATCCGGATTCCACTGTGTGGCACACAAGTCAAATCAGCGATGTTTTGAAATCTGGAGAAACAAGAACATTACATGTTTGTTTCACTCCGATTCATCCGATTAATTATTACAGAAGGCTTGTGATTCTTGTACATGATCAGGTATGGGTTGTTGTTTAGTTGTTTATCCTAGTTAAATTTTTATGTAATTTGGTTAAGTGGACATTGAAAGCTGCTATAATTGGAATAGATAGCTTTTATGTTGGAAAAATTGCAGTTTTTTAAATTTATCATATGACTTTACAATGCTGCATCAAATCAGAGTCAGAGTTATTTTATTGAATTATTTTATTGTCACTTGAATCAAAAAGTTATAGCATTAAAGTTCCTGAGTATAAACAAAAGACAGGAGTTGTGGAGTTAAGAAGAAATGACAGGAGTTGGGAGTTCAAAATGACTTACCGGTCATTCAAAATCGAGTTACAATTGATATTTATAACATACAATTGACTTTTGCGGCAATAAATCAATGTAGTTTTCCATATTCCCAAACAGTGCAACTTTAGTGCTGTATGAATGAAATATCAATCCATTCCTAAAATATTTCATCATCTCTGTCTGTAGTTTTATGTAAAATTATCAAACATGTTAAAATTTATCATTTGAGAGAAGTATGGCAAGCAATATCAGATTTTCAGCCACATTATGATTTTTCAAAAACAAGTCCTAGTATTGCATTGACTAAATGTATCTATATATATTTGAATTTATATATTACCAGACTTTTTATTGTCTTGATTTGATAATAATGATAATATGAAATTTACTTCCCGTTATGCCATGATTTATTATGGAAATTAAATGAGTCTCAAAATTTAAAAAAATTGGGAACCTCTGTTTTATTCTATCTGGAAAGGAACTTGAATTTATAGTAAAAAATGTCATAAAATTGGGTCAAAATGAATACCAAAATATTGTTATTCAAAAAATCTTTCTTGAAATCAGATTTTCAAAAGTACTTTTTTTTGTAAGACTTACCATTTTCAGTATAAAACCTATATGTTGAAAATTTCAGAATTTTGATATCAAACTATACAAATATGGGCATTCTCATTCCTAATTTTATGTAATGTTACAGCTATTTCACTGCCTTGATTATAAAAGTCACAAATTCTATGGATTATGAGTGGCATGTAGATGTAGTTGTCTGTCCATAGAATCATTTGATTTTCCTTACATTGTTATTTTACACTCATCTCATACTCAACGACTTGTTTCCTGCTTGTCAAGAGGGAAATTAAAGATTTTGAGTGTCATTATGTTGTTATTAAGTATATTCAGTTGCCTTCTTCGACTTTCCAACCAATTTTTGCTTTTCTCGGCCCGCAGTTGAATTGTGTTTATACAAAGAGTTCTATCTATAGCTGATACATGGCCGAATATGATTCATAATCACTTTCAATTTATCTCTCCCTAATCAAAATCTTTCAGGGGCCACTATACATTGATTTGATTGGAACATGTCACAGTGGAGAATCTCAACCACCGTTGCTAAAACCTATTCATCTCGATAAATATAAAATACACTCACAGCGAGGAATTAGCTTCTACTCACCGGAAATTCTCTTCAATTTGTTGCAGTGAGTACTTTTTAATTACACACTAAGATAATTAGTGTTTCAATTGATTCTAATGTGGTTGTGATATGCTGGTAATAATGTATCAACATCGGGATAGAAATGTAAAAATTTATATTTGAAGAGGATAACTTGGTAAAATATTTGGAAATCCTACTTATAATTGCATGTTAATAAATAATATTAGCCAATAAATTTCATTCTACAAAAAATGATAATTTATTATGTAATGAATTCTTATGGTCGAATAGATAGAAGAACTGTTTGTGAAAGACTGGGTAAATAAATGATTTGATAGTTTCAATTTTTTGTTATTCTGTTATTATTTTATTTCATTGTATAAGAAAAGGAAAAATTTAACCAAAAAATTAAAAAAAAATCGAATTTTTCAATTCTAAAATCAACTTTTTCTCTTCTGTGAGTTATCAATCATTACCATATTTCATGAGTGACACAAAAAATGTTATTTCATTATTTCAGGGAAAACCAAATCAAAGTAGACGACAGTGGATGTCTAATGTATTCATGGGATGAAAATGAAGAATCCGTTTATAATTCTGATCCTCCACTGACTGAATATTTTGATGATGCTCATAACTCAGAAATAACAGTATTTTTCTGTTTTTTTATTCAATTTTGATATATTTTTTACTATTATAACTTTATTTGTATTTCTGTAGTAATTTTTTCGAATATTAATTTATAAATTTTTTTCTGTAGCAATTTTACTCTCAACAAAGTGCCAATCTAGTAACCACATGAATATATATAGTTTCCAGGTTTTGAAGGACTAGTATCTTTGCGATTTGGAATATTCCATTTAACTTTTTGCGTGGTGGCTTTTGGTGGTTCGCCGAAATAAAAACAGCTTAACTATGAGATTTGCTTGAAGTAATGCCAGCATAGGTATTTTGTGGAAATTATTCTTTATGAATATAATTTTTAGGATGTTCTTTCACTTCTCCCGTCTGAAGGCTAAAAGCAAAGATCCACCAACTAAGTGTTTCATTTGGTTAGTGGTAATCCGACCAGGGCTCCAACCTGCAGCGCTAACATAGTTCGACTAGCAGACTGTCCATTATGGCATTACACCATTGTTTTATTCTCAAGCACTAAGTCTTTGCATCTGAAACGAATATTTGGTTAAGTATTTTTATACACGACTTGGACTGATAAACAGCCAAGAGATCATGGTTTCTAATATGATTGAGACGTCCTAACGGCTTTCATCTCCCCAGGATAAATATGAAAATCTATTCTATTTTACAGATTCTATTTCTAATCATTGTGTCTGTTATTGATATAGTTTTAGAGGAATGTCATTCAAATTCAATTACCGATAGTTGCTTAGCACTTTCCGTACCCCGTCAGTTTTTTTATTTTTACCATTGAGAGGGCAAACCTAGTGATGTCATCAGTTTTCATCATATGTTTTGGCGATATCGTTTTGTGGGTTGCGACCTTCAATTGAGAAGTGTAACAAAATTTGATGATAACCTTTACATTTATTGCTTTTTTCATTCCAGCACAATCCACCTCATGTATCTTTGGATAAGTTAGAAGTTTGGTTAGGACAACAACAATTTGACATGAATGGTGAAAATGAACCTTGTCATGCTACTTTGAGAATGACTAATCACACCAAAGGAAAAATTACCGCAATTTGGATGCAAGGTTTGTTTTCTGCCGTCTTTTTTCATTATGGTTGGAAGGTGTATTATTACATTGTTTCTTTGCTTTAACTATTTATTTTAACTATGGATGTTTTATCTGCTTTAACAGGAAAGTTTTCACAGAAATACCCAAACTGATTGTTTAATTTACTATTCCGAATGCATTTCAAAATATTATATTTCAATTTGCAATATTGATAGCCTAGCGGTTTATGCGCTTAAATTATTAACAGCGTTGGCATCACTAATTTCACATCTCGGCTTTAAGTGTCCACTAAGCGTAATTAATAAGGTGGGCAACGCTGAAACGAAATAATTTCAGACCCTTTCGACTTGATGGTAGAGGAAGCCGTGAACGACCAGCGGTTACGTGAACCATCTTATAGCGGTGAGGAGTCCTGCAATCATAATTAACCCCCGCATGGGATGCGAACCTGCGAACCCATGCTGGGTAATCATAGGTGCGGTGGTGAGCGTATTCCCATTGCTTAGCATGATGCGCCATACAGCTCGAAACATCATGTCAACTGAGAATTTTATATATTTGTTTCAGATCCGACTGGAGTTTTCGAATTAATTCCATCATCATGTGACATACCACCATTGAAATCTACTGATTTTCGTGTTGTTTTCCGACCAAATGTCCCAAATCAATTTTTTGGAGCTGAACTAGAATGTTATGCATCTTACAAGGTAATGATACTGTTCTACTGGTCATGATGATTTTTTTATTTTATACAAATCCAAAATTATCAAATATTGTTTTACTTTTTATTTTGTTCACAGAGTATGCGAGACTACAAGCTAGTTGATGACACAACCATTACTCCACCATGGTGTTTGACAGTGTCTGTGAGTGGACATACTTTCAGTGGAAAAAATAACACTTTTCTTCCTAATGTAGAAATTGGAGCTAATGAACTGGTTAGTAAATGTTTCGGGTTATAGGGAAGATGTATGGAGAATCAGGATAAATTTGTCTCAACTGATCACTTTTCTTAAAAATCGTTTTTTTTTACCTGGAATTGCTTTTTTATTTTGACAATATTTGATCTTTAACCTGAATGATGAAAAAAACAATAACACATAATATTCTGTTGTGCAAATTTTTATTTTAAGAACCTATCGATGAGTATCAAATTGAACCTTTTGCATTTTTGTGAAATATATTTATTCATAGTTCTTTATTGTTGTCTGACGTTGATGCACATTTCCCATTTTTCAAATACTGCATCTGCCAAATAATGCGGTGACCACCAAGCAACCTGACTTGATTAATATATTCTTTTAGTTCTTTTTGCCTGTTTTGTTTTGTTCGAATTACTTACATACCTGAGAAATATTTACATTCTGAATCACAATTTGACTGTCAACAATATTTTCAGACATTTGATGCAACTCCTGACAATGAAGACTCTTACAGAACAATGCTGCTGAAAAATAACGGAACTACTCCTGTGTTATATCAATTCAATCAGGTAAAAAAATTACAAGACTACAATAAGACTGGATGTGTGTTGAAAATATAATTTAAAATTAAAATTTTTTTGGGGGTCAGAAGTTGTGAAATATTTAGAATTCGAAAAAGATAAAAATGAATAAAATATAAAATGGAAAATATATTATATTAAGAGAGTATTTGAGGGGTTTCAATAGTTTCTCGTCCGATACCAGCCCATGCTTGGTATGAGAATAGTCAACCAGTTATTTGTTTCTGATGCATGGATTTGGTGATGGAGAAAGTCGTAACCAACTAGCTGTTACCTGAACCACCATAATTTAATTTTGATGAGTCTATCAATCCTCCAGCACATAATTTGAACCTGTGAACCCACGCAGGGCAATCAAAGTTACGACGACAGGTGTGTTGCTGATACTTCGCACAATGTGCCGTCTGTTGAGTCAAATGGCATTATTTGTGTCATTGAGATTAATCTGTCAATTTTATTGTTTGTATGGTATATTACATATACAGTGAAGATACATAGACTACAATATGTCACCTTATTTATTAATTTATACTGGATACAAAACTGCCAATAATTTATTAAAGAAATATTACATACTTTTATGTTCTCAGAATTCTGAAGAATCCAGTTTCACAATAAAACCACAGCAAGGAATGATGAAATCGAAATACCATATATCAGTGTGTAGGTTAACACCAAGAAAAGTGGAAACTTACGAATCGAAAGTTACTCTACGATTGAACGACAATGGAACACATGATGAGGTAGGTTATGTAACCCCTGGTCGGTTGCAGCTTCCTCCACCATCAAGTCCATGCATTGAAAATAAATACTGGTAACTGAATAACTAATCCCATACCCAACATGGACTGGTAACGTGGACTGGTAACTGGCTGTGGTTTGACATATGATTAGGCTGTCCTATTACTTTTCTCTCCCCCAAGATAAATATGTAAATCCTACCCTAAATCATAATTGTTACTTGTTTGGTTACCTGTCCCTGTCTACTTGTACATTACAGCATCTAACTCTCATTGGAACTGGGGAACAGCCTGAATTACTTCTGTCAAATTCTGGAGAAATGTATTTTCGACCAACTTGCATAGGAACAGTGAATACAAACAAATACACTGTACAAAACACTGGTCGTCTTCCACTAGGATTCATGTGGAAATTACAAAGCACTGACTTGACAAGATTGTCAGTGGAACCAAAATCAGGAGTCATCTATCCGAATGAAATTCAGGTAACATAGAAAAGATATTTGAAGCAGCAATGGACAAATTTGACAAATTTTTTTATGATGATATCAAATACATTCAAATTGAGGCAGTTTGAAAAACACTGTACTAATCAATGCATATGCATAAAAATTGAATAAGATAATATGGAAAAACCAACCCAACAAACCTGGTTTTATTATTTTCTGTAGTTGACAGAAAACGTATAATTTGATACTGATTTCCTTAATACTGTTTTATTAGAAGTTTTAAAAAATGGCATAAATTATTACCTTATTCTTTCAACCATATTCATGGATTTGAAACATTTGCTGACTGTTCCTTTAGTATAATATGAATATTCCCTCTCTTTTTCTGATTATCGAGACAAATAATTTTACTTAACACTATCGCTGTTATATAAGGAGCTAGTATTTTTGTATGAATTTATCAGCTTTCTCAATTTATTATATATTGGGGAGGTTAAAATGGGGTTTGAACCCAAGATCTTTAACCTGCCATGACAATATAATCAGGTCTAACGCTCTACTACTAGGGTTGCCACCCATAAGGCTATAGAGACATCCACAACGATTTTCTCTTTGAAAAGTTTCTATACTCGATTGCCATCTTCATTTCTTTCTTTTCATATTCAGAACCATACTTGGACTTACTCACCTGACATTCCAGAAAAAAGTTTATTCAAACCAGTTTGTTACACTTGGCCCCATAATAATGACTCAGCAGAAATTACGTCGGTTGTTGATATTCCCATCAAAAATCGAAGAAAATTCACATTGAGAGTTATTGGAGAAGGACATACGGGAGAAATAAGGGTAAGCTTGCTTTGCTTCACTACACTGGTCATTTTTGCCTCATCGTGCTAAGCGCTAGTCATACACCTGCTATCGTATGTTTAAATCGAATGGCGGAAATTTTGTATGATAAGAGTGATAGACTCCTCGTAACTGCTGATCAATTTTGGCTTCATCCACCGATAAGTCCATGCATTTGTGACAAACAACTAACTAGTTAACTAATAAATTCATGCTTCTAAAACAAATAACTGGCCAGCTAATCATCCCATACCATCCCATGGAATGATAACCTGTCAAAGGCTGTGGTTTGCCATATGATTAATTCGTCTTACCGACTTTCCTCTCCTCTGGGATAAAGATGTAAATCCAATCATATTAGCAAATTTGGCATGCAATGTAACTAGATGAGAGACTGTGGTTTGCTTTGTGATTGAGATGCTGTATTGGTTCTCCTTTACCCCAGAATAAATATGAAAATCCTATCCTATGTGAAGAAAAAGTGTAATATTGTATCAAATAAATCTTGTACAAGTTCAGCTGAGGTATTAGTATTTTGGTGCTTTACAGTATGAAAAGGGCTCAAATTCCTATTTGATTATAAGAATGGTTAACTTTGGCTTTTCATTTTAGGTAACTAGATAAATGGTATCTTTTGAATTCAGGCTGAACGATCTTCCATTGATTTCTCCTGTGTTATTTGTGGATCATCATCTAATAAGACATTAGTTCTTCATAATGTGTCAAACTGTGATGCCAGATTTAAACTCTCTATCGAACAATTTGTCAACAGTCAGTATGGTGAAAATCCTGATGAAAAGTGAGTATTTCCATCAGTATATTCTTACATGTTAGAATGCGGGTGCGAGCGATGGCTTGGTGGTTAGAGCCTCTAACTATAGTGTCATCAAAGGTTAAATATCTAGGGTGCAAATCCATGCCCAACACTTCACCCACCTTGGAAAAATTGGTTAAAATGCCCAATATAACAAATTTTTCAAATGAAAATCATCCTGAGTCATCATTTTGAATGTATTTGAAAATTCTGGATGTCCCTGGTTGGCACAAATTACATGTTATAAATCCTAATCAAGAATTAATTGTGTGCCTTTTTGTTTCTTACATGATAATTTGGGAATTCGTTCGAAACGTCCTGATAAATTTTTGCCCATTATTTTTGGTATAACAATTTGTAAAAGAAATATTTCAAAGTAATACACTTTAGTATTGGTGCGTATGTGTGTTATGCAGTGAGAAATACAGTGAAAGACACTGATCTATGAGTGGATGAAATTACTGCTTACTGGCAGCCACTGAAATGTGATAAGCTATTGAGACTGTATGAATATATAGAAATAATATATATTATATGTGATAGTTTCAAAGTAAATTGAAGAATTGAACTTTTACTTTTTATGTGAAAACCAATGTGAAATGTGAAACTCATGTAAAAATACAAATTTTTTTTCTCAGTGAAACCATTGCTCTATATCTGAATAAATCAAGTGATGTTCTTCCATCACATTCACGTACTACGATCAATATCAAGGCTAGACCTCATCGACGTGTCCTGTATACGTGGTCATTGTATTATGAATTGATTAATGAAGATGGTATGTATATAGTTGTCATAGGTAGTAGCCAACAGTTGTAACAAGTTTGAAATTAACAATTCTCAAAAACTCAGTTTTCGAAAAATTACATACAAGAATTAATTTTTTTTGTAAGTTACTTTTAGTATTAAAATGATAGAATTTAAAACTCATAAACGTCTTTTCTTATTTAAAATTTTAGATTTTTGGTATGAAACGATTCCTTGTGCAGCAGAATCGTGGTATATGCTAAATTCACTTCATATCAAATTTTCAATAATTTCACATTCCATCGAAATGTTGATATAAATCAGCGTTTCCCAACCTTTTTTGGTCGCGGATTATTTTCTCACCGACGAAAACCTTTGCGGACTCAAGGTGTGTTTATTGCAACCGTACTCTGTGTGAAGGAGCAATAAAAGCAAACACAACTGAATTTTAACGAATTTCAACAATGGCCTTTTCTGTCGAACAAAATTTAATCCACGACAACGACGAGAATTTAAAATGTCTTTCTATTTTAATTTAATTGTGTTCATGGTAACTCGCGGTTGCGTTGACAACAAGATGAAAACATTACTTCTCTAAAATGCAACGGCGATCTGCGAACATAAAAATGTGAGAATATATTGCCCGATCATATATATTTAGTTTTGATACATCCTAGTATCAGTTATAAATTTCCAGAAAGTAACTTGATTCAGTACTTATAAAAAATATATTTAAAGTATACTAGTAAATCAAAAATAGATATTCATTGTCTTGCTTTATTATTAATTTAATTGTGAGCTTTTTAATCTGCGGTTGTGTTGACGAAATAAAAGCAATACTACTCAGAAAATATGATGACAATCCGTGAACGCAAAAATGCGTGGTAAAGTGCATGAATATATTTTGTTTTGATTCGCATTTTTGTGAATTCAACAATTCTGAGCTGTTCGTACAACACCCACGGCAGTACTGTACGTACCAATGTGGAGGCAGTAAAGCAAAGAATCCTAAGGGAAAATGTCCTGGTCTGGTAGCATTCAAAATTTTGGATTTGCAATGTCTAAAAAAGCGCTTTTAATTGGTCGCGGACCATCATAAAACAAAACTCATGGTGTTCTCCCTTTTATTTTTATTTTTTGTATTGCCACTTTTCAATTTAAAAAATTTGGCTTGCCACTATTGACACCTACCAGAAAAAAAATTTATTCCTCGTTGTTCGACCTCGCGAGAAACACCACTGAGGTATCTATCGAACCATGTGCAGACTCGTGTTTTCGTCGGAAATCCGCGAGTGAGTTGTGAAATTCAATCGTCTGATTTAGCGCAAGTGACCTGTCGTGCCACCTGTTACCAAATTTTCGAATAGTAAATTGCTATTCTAATAGTTCAATATTCAAATATATATATGCCCAGCCCTACTCAGTAACCAGTCATTATTGACTCGATTAATGTATGTGACTAAACTTGCTTTTTATGTTTAATGTAAATTCTAACATAAATCGTAACTGGCTGATACTAAAGTTTCGTAAAAACGTTTGACTTTTTGTTGCGGACTCATTTGAGACCGCGGACTCGGGTTGGGAAACAATGATATAAATATATATTTAGGAAATAATTTATGTTTACTTATGTATGGTAATTCTTGTTAATTAACTTTTTGTCGTTTTTATTTGCGAGAAATTGTTTCCTATTCATTTTGTTAATTTTGTCTTTTAGACGAAGCTATCGAACTAAACAACAGAATATTATTGTGTGAACTTAGTGCAGAAGGCGTTTATCCAAATCTAGAAGTAATAGGTAAGTTCATAAAAGCAGTCTCTCTATTCAACTAGTACATCCAGGCGATTCAGAGCTGAAGAAATTGATTTTAGAATAGCTTACTGAATTAAATAATAATTCAATCTTCAAGGTATTGGTTAGAAAAGAATTGTCAAAAACTCAAAAGCAACTAGAATATTCAAATAACATAGGCATATCCAAATCTGAAACTTTTAAGGTAGTTAGGACGGATGGGAGTTTCAGGGAAAACACTTTAACTGTTAACCGGCTAAAATTAACCGGTTGACCACATCGTGACGTTTGACATATATAATTACATTGTATCTAGTATCCGATTGACCATTCTAATAGTTGGCTATGCACATTTTTGACCTAGACTTGCAAACATTGTTTAAAAAACATTGGTTTATCATATGATTAACTAACTTATATTATTGTCTGTATCCGCCATAGAGAAATACTAGCATCATCCTTATTTCTGATTCATGTTAAAAATAATTTATAATTTCTCTAGATGCCCGTACATCTGGTAGTGGTGCAAGTATAAGTAAAACACAACTATGGAGATGGTTTAGTTTGGATAGCTTCAATTCATTTCTTGATGCTGATCCTGAAAAGCAAGAACTTATCTACTCTGTTTCAACAAGAAGAAGGTAGGATTTATTTTTTATTAGTTATACAATGCAGGTGTCGTGTCGGTTACTTTAATAGGTTTTTCTCACGGTAAGAATAGGTTTATAATCTTTCAGCATAGATAGAATATAGGGCGGTGACAGATGGTTAGCACAATTGCTTGTCTTTGTTGGTAGGTTACGGGTTAAAATTATTGAAGACTTTGAAGTTAGGCTAGGTACAACTAGGGTTGTTCAAAGTATTCACTTCAAATACCATTTAATATTAATAATATACAAAAATCTGCTATTTTTAAGAATATAATTACCGGTAGGAATGTTCTGCGATTCATTTTCAAATTTTATGTTGCAAACTTTGGCACATATCACTACTTCACATCACAGTGGTAGCAAATTGGGTATGCAGTGAAGAATTTGGGAGATTCCTGTCTTTCCAAACCTTTGTAGATTTCATCTATAGTTGGATGCTTGTAAATAGTCGTATTATAAGTGACAGTATGGAAAAACGTTGAAACGTGAAAAATATCTTCAACAAATGATAATCGAATCTTAAATATCAATCAAAATAACATTCTTCATTTATATTTCATAGCACAAGTCGACGGCCAAGCGTTCATACTCGATCTATTTTGGAATTTAATTTTGGTGCTGCACCTCTTGATTCTGAATCTTGTTTTGTGAGTTTGATGTTACGCAATACCGGATCTGTTGTCTCAGAATGGTACGAGATTTATTGGATATGTTTAAAATAACATGTGTACAGACATGTAGCTGAAAATGATTCTAAGTACTACTATTTTAAAATCTCTTCGTTTAATTAAAATAATGCTAACTCATTTTTATCATGAGTGATTGTATTAATTTTTGTTTTATATCAATTCTTAATTTGTATATATCACGCTTTTAAAACATGAAAAAATTGTAAATACAAAGGAAATATCAGAAACACATATATTTTTTTGTTTAGGATATGCATTGCTATACTATATTTCGCATGAAAACTGATGAACTTATTGCTAAGTATATCTTTATTAAAATTCCTTCTTTTTAGGGCTTTCCTTTTCCCAAAAGATTTACAATTACCCATGGATTATTGGACGGAGACTGGTGTTTTTGATGCTGATGAATTGCATGAATTACATATACAAGATAACAAGCTTTTTACAGGTTTGGTTTTTATTTGGTTACAGGCTGATCAGTTTTGGTTCAAAAGTATTTGGATGAGCTATGCTAGCATCGCAGATCTCAGGATCAAACCCCATGCCCACTATCTAACCAGTCTACAATGCAGAGCCTGAAAGATGTTGATCCTTCCCAAAATTGTAACTACTTACTTATCAGTGAGAGCCTTCCCTAGAGCCGAGGTATAGAAACTCTGCTGATAGACTATTAGACAAGATATTCATTATGTGTGTGGCATCAGAGGCAGGAGATAAACACTTAGCATGACTATATACTTACGATGTATCTTCACCAAGGTGTTATGAAATATAGATGATGTTGATCAACTTTAAGATTGTGATGTTTATGAGTTTCTGTTGGACATGTGAATATATACAGACAATACATTAACATTGAGGCGTATTCTAGTTGAACGTAGTCTTCACATGCTATGAAAGGCAAGAACAAGAATGTTCACCTACCGGATGAACCAGATACCAAATTTCACATCCCTGTCCAACATACAACAAAGTCATGCTAACACATACCCATGTAATTGTATATCAAAACAATTGAAAAAAATGTTAATTTGCTTTTCTTTTCTTTATGTTTTGATAATGGTTGTGAATTATTTATACTTATTGTTGAAAACATGTTTGTCATTGTAAGGATGGTTGACGTAAGTTCTGGTTGGTTATGGCTTCTTTTGTTATTGTGCTTTTGCATCTGAAATGAATAGCGGAAAACCATTTCCACATGCGACATGGCTGATAACTGAACAAAATTCCATGGTTTACGGTTCATATAATTGGGTCACCATACTAGCTTGTCTTTCCCTTAGATTAGCGATTGGCAATCTGCAGCTCCGAAGCTGCATACGGCTTCTTGTTCTCAGAGCTCGTCCCGTGAATCATACTGGTTACTGCAGTTTTTTGTTAGAAACAGTATGGATTCAATGAGAATGGGGGCATAAAGTCAAATACTTATCACAGTGGTTCGAAAAGTAAGTCGCGCTGGGTATAAATGGGTCGCATTTGAAGGGATACAAGTCTGTCAAAACGAACTTTTTCTTTTCATTTTCAAGTTTTTTTCATTTTGTCGTAGACTGTATTATTGTATCATTTGGCTTCTTCTTAGTAAGAACTAGATTATGGCATTATACGTGGTACACCGGGAGTTTTAATAGCCACTGACATTAGAGTAGATGTTGCGGCTCTGAGTAGTTTTGAGTTCAATTGAAAGCATGGTAAATGGCTCTTTCAATGCTGAAGGTTGCAGATCTGTGCCCTAGATAAATATAAAAGCCTATCTGTATATAGATTTTACTTTAAACTAAGTTGGTTAAAAAAATGAAACTCCAAATTATATTTAATTCAAGAGTCTTGCTGCACACTTACACAAATATATTTCTGTAACGTTTCGTCTGACCAAGGTGAGACTTCTTCAGACAAGCATTTTACAACTATGATTAATGCTATCAATGATTTTTTACATATTTTAATGGCAGAACTTATGATGATTGAATATGTTTTTAGTGAGTCCAAAGAAAGGGAAACTGAATCCGGGACAAAACCAAACAATATTACTTCAATATAAACATGATATCGCTGGAACTCATCGTATTCCTGTCTTGTTCAAACTTGAGAATGGAAGAGAAATTTTAGTAAGTTTTTATGCCAACTGTGAGTAGGTGTTCTTTTCAGCGTTAACTTTTCTCAGAGATGAGTCTCCTTTAGTTGTGAATGAATTCATGTCACCTTGATTTGATCACATTCCCGTACAGTTTATTATTATAACCTAAAGTAAATCAATGGGAAGAACCCTCTCTCACTGCCCTTATTATGTACATAATTTTCTTTCTATTATTGTTACTGTTATATTGGATATTACACAGCAAGAAAAAACTGTTTGCTCATTTTTTATGTTTTCTTCTATGTATCTCTTGTTTCAAATTACCAACCGATCCATGTTTCAGAAGAATCTATATTTTTTCAGCTAAATTTTGTTGGAGTCACAGTAGAACCAAATCGTCGATACATTCATTTTCCCGGCAGCAAACACAGCTTCACTCCAGTACCAATTGGTGGTCCAACTCCACCACGTCAAGTAAGTATAAAAGGCTTTACAAGTCTTGCAATAATGTTTATTCATCGTTACTCACTAGATAGAACTTTATTATATATTTATCCAGGCTAGCTTGACAAATCATATATTTCAAATCAAATCAATAACTACCGTACTTATGTGGATGGTGGTGACTTGTGAAAGTTGTTTTTGATCATTGGTTATATGAACTGCCATGCAATGTCAAGGAGTCATGCAATCCTTTAGCACATGGGTGTGCAACCTGTGGCAAGCAGGCCAAGTGCTGCCCACAAGGAAAAATTGTCATAAGATGATTACCAAAATTTTTGTGCCTGCAGGCTGCAACCACTCGAGAGTTTATGTTAAATAAAGGTGCAGCCCATAGTTTCACCCAGTATTTGTATTTGACCCTCCTGTATAAAAAGTTGCACTCCCCTGCTTTGGCACATGAGCTACCCCAACGGGAGTTAAACCTGCACTATCCAAATCTGCATTCTATTTATGCCGAATGAACATTTGGAGGTGTTTTACATATCTGCCTTGAACAAGTCTTCAGGCAAGCAACCATTCAGGCTTATGATCCTATTAGGTAAGAGAGGACAGGAACAATTTTACTTTAAAACCCATGATACAGTGATTAGGTTTGTGCTGGCTACTGGACTGACCCCGCTAGAGGACTTATATATATATATATACTGAGAGTCTGAGATACAACTTGGAGATACCAGCTTCAAACGATGAGGCTAATAATAAAAATTTGTGTTTTTCTTTTAGTTATATGAAATATACAATGGAGGTTCAATGGCAGTCATGTATGAACTAAATGTTGCACCACTCGTAGAACTACAAACTGCAAATTTTGATCATCCTATATTAACTTGTCTGAATCCACAAGGAGAAGTATTGCCCGGTACATGCACCAATGTCGAATTCATTTTCTCTCCGTTAGAAGCAAAGACATACATGGTATGTATATTCCAAAAGATTTTATAGGAAAATTTTAGAGATATACTTCAATGTAAATCATTTTCATTGTAATTTGCATCAAAGTTACAATAAAAAGAAAAAGAATGTATGAAAGTTATGCATTTCAATTTCATAAATTTTAATTTGTAATATTTTGTCTGACAAAACAAGTTGTCTTGGTTTCCGACTAGGATTGAACTTGGTGTTCGCTAAATTTCGATTCTCAATGCTTCACAAAAATCATGCTTTTAATGCAAACAGAAAACGTCTAAGGTTTCGATTGCCTGAGTTTTATTAGATTAGTTTTGCTTGATCACCAATACCAGTGTAAAAACCAGTAAACTTTTTTTTCATGAGTGCCATATTTGTTGATGAACAGTTACAGTTTTCTATATGTTCCGCTATGTACAATTTTGTCTTAAATTTGTCAATTATAGTATGTATGACAGTCATAATTTCAATTAGAAGCCGATCGATTTAGTTACCCTCACTTATCTTCTTTTGATTATCGAATGTAATGGTCATTATTTCTAACTATTACTATAATAGGTGTACTTTATCTTAAATTTTTATTCAAAACTTCATGATTGTTTCTCTCTATCTAACTGAGTTTCAACAATTTTAGGTTGATATACCAATACACATTGTTGGTGGTGATGTGGCATTAATATCATTCAGTGGTATTGGTTATGATGCTCGTGTTATTGGATCAAATATGCCAATGCTCGATCAACCGCCTGAATTTTCGGGAGTACCAAAAACTCAAACAGTTCCTGTACCGGGTCAGGTAAGATACTGGTATTTGTAGATACAGAAATATATGCAATCATTGCAAAATAAAATAGTATCGAGTTATGAAGACTGTAGCGTTGATTTTGTATAAGTAACATGTGGTCATCTGTGATACAAGTGGGTTAAAAGTTATGGTGTCGGAGAAATCATAGTCTGACTCTCAATTCCAAACTAATTAAAAAGTAAACTTTTATCTCTGGATTGGCAAAAATTTTATTTCAGCTTTCTGACTGCATCACAGACAGAAAAACTTGTTTTGGACTAGTGTTTGTTCTATTTGAACTGAAAATTTTGACGATTACTCCTAAATTGATAAAATCTGGAATTTTTCTTCTTAGTCCCCTTTCAAATGTGAAAAGTATCTTTACTTTTTACTATTACTTTTAACTTTTAGAAAAATTCTTGGACTGAGATGCCATATGTATGGTATCCATTGTATATTACAACTAATATTGTCCTCAATAACCCTTTCGTTAATTCAATCTCTCCAGTTTCCTATTATGCACTATTTCCCAATATGACAACGAAAGACATTGTATCCTTCTTCATTTAGCATGTCTTCTTATCAGAGGAAAGAATAAGTTTTGGAAACATACCATTATTCAGTAGAAAGCGACATGTATTTTTCCTCACAAATAAGTCGACAGACAGACCAATGAGATTTTCATGGCACGCCTCATCAGAGACAGTCAATGATGTGAGTTAACATACCGGTATATATTATGAGAACCTAGCGTTTTTTAGAACAGGGTGATCCAAACCCTGGTCTGTGCAATCCAAGTTTTTAGTTAGATCACAAAATTCCAACTTCGACGGACTTGTTTTTCAATGATTGCACTAGGCCTGCTCACGCTGCAAATTAAAAGATTAGTCAAATATAACAATTTGTCTTAAAATACATGTAAAAATAAAGTGACGGAGGAAAACTGGTAGGAAACATATTTCCTTGCCCACTACAATGGTAAACCACAGTGTCTGGTGTGCTTTCAAGTAATATCTGTCACGGAAGAATATAGTTTGAAGCGACAGTACAAAGCCAAAATAATTAAAGGCTTTATACGTATTTATACTTATAAGAAACACCACCCAGGCAGCATAACAATGGGTGATTAGAACGGTAAACTCTCATATATTTAAAGTAAGTAAACTTGTGATATTTTAATCACTCCTGGATTTTCTCCGAATGCGGCCCGCAAGACCTTCTTAAAAGTTTTTGCGACCCTTCAATTTCGCAACCTTGGACCCTGTTCTAGAAGATAGAAAATAACAAGATAGCACAATAATAGTATGGCTTAGTATTATACCGTGGCCTCTTGTCTGGTTTCCAGCCTGGAACTGAAATAGAACTAGTATAACGTTTCTAAACTTTCTAAATTTGCATATATCATGTTACAACTGAACAAATAGGGTATTTGAAAAGGAAATATGGGCACTTTAAAATATCATTTATTATTATACCATTATTCATTTCATTCACTATTTAGATACTGACGTACTAGACCCATACGATTACATACATTTAATGTTTTTTTTCTCACTATTTCTAAAGGTATTGCGAATTGAACCAGTTCATGGTAGACTGGAACCAGGTGAACATCGGCTGACAAGGATCACGTTTTGTGCTGCAGGACAACCTTCATTTTATGATCTGGATCTAATATGTGAGGTATGATACGGTGAACGCTACATTAGATTTTGAAATGAATCGAATGGGATTTTCAGTCCATGAACCAGTTAATCGTATGACCAACCATTACCCATCCTCAGTTACCAGTCTATGTTGGGCAAGGGAATAGTTGACCAGTTATTTGGTTCAGATATATGGCTTTGATGGTGGGGATTCTGGGGAAGCTGTAACCAACCGACTACCGATTATTGTAACCACCCTAATGCACAAAGAGTTGAGCAACCTCCACACATACTTGGCAGCCATGTTAGTGAACATGAAGACTGGCGCCAATGGAAATTTGTTGTGTTGTCCACAATGTGTATCTCATGGTCAAACTGATTCAAAACCATAGCATATTATAATGTTTGAGATAGTTGGCAAATCCTATAATCATTTATTCATAGAGGAATTTTTTTTGCCATTTTATGCTGTGGGAGAAGAAAGCCAAGATGGTGCATTTATACTACACACAGGGTTGACCCTGAGTATTTTGAAGGGTTATCAGTCTAGCTCTAAGTTCAGGTAGTAAAAAGTAAGTAAAGTAATCATTTAACCATTCCAAATTAACTGTTGCATGGCTTGGTGGAGAAAATTGTAGGCAATCAGATGTATCTTTGTTACATTTCAAATTATGAACATTTTTATATGCTTGCACACCATTTTGCCAGGTTATTGATGAAATAAAAATGCAAGAATATCATGCTGAATTATTGAGTTGGGAAGAAGAAAAGGCAAAACAAGAAGTTGAATTTACAATTACTGATCAAACTATTGAGGTTTGTGATATATTCTGCACTGTTCAAGTTATTTTGAGTGGTTTTCCATAGTTTGAAGTTTTAGGGTTTTTCCTTTTCTTTTTGAACATTTAGAATCAATTTGTACTCAAAAAGATACTATGCTTAGCACAACAAATCATTTTCTTGTTTGGCACATTCTATCCATTGTTCTACTTCCAAGTTGACGATGAGAAAAAATCAAGGAAAAAGATAGAATCAAATAATTTAATTTTTAAATGTCTTGAATATGTGTGATTGAGGAAGTCTTCAGTTGGCATTTATGTTGACTATCACACAATGACAAACAGTCCTTTCTTTAGCGCAAGATTACAAAATTCATAACTTTGTCTTTTAGTTGTGGTATTCAGTTGTGACTTGGCAAGAATATTCTTAACATGCTATGTGAATCAAACCACCACACACAGGGTGGGTGATTTCCACTGGAAGATTTCTGGTCCTTCCAAAAATAGTAGCTTTGTTGCTATCTGTGGCAACTTGTTTAGAGTCTTGTTAGGAATGGCACAGTAAAACCTTTTTTAAAACGAAACTTAATCAAAAAGGAACCCAATTGAGCATGTTTATGATAAATATATTTTTGAAGTGGTATTTAATATATTATAATTTCAAATTCAGGAAGAACTAACGCAGCAAGCAATGCAAAACTCTTCGTCACAACAAACAATAGAAAAAACATCACCACGACGACTCAATCTTGAAAACGTTTTGAACAAAAATTTATCTCCAATGAGATTGACTGAGAGTGTAATGACTAATAAACATACTCGGGTATGTTATTTTCAATTGTTATTTTTTATAATAATGTTAGAATTTGTGAGTGAATTTATTCTTGTGACCGTCTACATTAATTGAATTTTTCCATTGGTAAAAGATTACCTATTGCCCTTGTTTTCAAAAAACTCTTCATAGATTTTATCTTTTACAGTCAGAGACAAAGAAGTACAAGACATTGCCTCCAATAAGATTTGAAGATCCATTACATTTACCGAGCGATAGATCTCGAGTGAATAGGAAGATAGACATGGTCTTACGAGGTGAAAACAATGAGGAATGGCCTCAGCCTCTTCCACCAGAACCATTTGTCAGCCATCTTGGAATTACAGCTAGAACTCATGATATCAGTGAATTCAGAACAAACTTTCCTCACGAAGGAAATAAACATTACATTGATAGGTGAGTACAGATCTTTGTATACAATGTTCGGTACTCCCGTAGTATATGTACCAGGTTAGGGTTAGGCCATAATTTTTTCCCAATTTTCCTTACTTTAGTTCTACTACGAGTTCGAGGACTTTCTGTGTCAGCCAAGTGAATATACCCCCTGCCCATAGGTTTCAGCCCCTTTATACAACTTGATGTAAAGTAGGCGAACAAAATTAGTTACCTCCATATTAGTACATACACTTCTGCAGTGCCCAAAATTGAATCATAATATTCTTCTGTTTTTGAATTCTAGAATGCTCCAAGTGAATCATCCGCTACCATCCCGATCAACATCTGAGCAATATTTACTCACAACTTGTGATAAAGAAGAAAAAGATACTGTTATTATGATCATGTCTAAAGTTATCAGGTTTGTTTGTTTGCTTGCAAGACAACAAAGACCAGTCAATGTTTGCAAACATGCCTGAAAAGTAAAGAAAGTGACTGGAGTATCAGTTAAACATTCTAATTGTGTCAGCGACATCGTAATGCTATTGCTGATTGACCATTGTCATGGGGGTTTGCAATCTTTAACACAAGAGGGCCACATTCAAATAACTGTGTCAAACTGTGTGACATACTCTTATTTAACATAGGCTTTCTGGTAATTGCAGGCACAGGTTTTATTGATCTTATCACATGCGTTGTTCGCTACGCACAAGCTAGCTGTTAGGACATTGTGAGGTCATAAAAATTGGACTCAGGCATAGGCGTTGCGACGCAAAGGGATTGATATTGCACATACCAAAATACCCTTTCTTATCAATTTCAGGAGTTTACTAGATGATCCAACTTTTCATGATTCTGTTCGTGGAATATCAGAAGAAAAAACTCCATATTTTAAACAACTGGCTAAAGAAGATCAAGACAAAGTTGAAGAGGTTTTTTAAATCAAACTTTTATTCATATGTTTTGTCAATGATGTAAATCTCTCAAACTTGCTGTAACAAATTAGTAGTTGAAAAGGCAATATTTTGCTAGTTTTGTATAGTTTACCCAGGTAAATAATCTCATTAATAGATCAGTACTAATTGTGCTATTGGAGATTGAAGTTTATATCCTGCAGTACTTACTTAATACTAGGACTTTCATATATATTGATACCTCGGTAGATGAAAACATAGGTAAATCGTTTAGGATTCAAATTTGACTTCCGTTTTTTTCGAGTACTGGAACAAAAAATGCGCACCTTGTGGCGTCTCCACTTTTTTATTAGTTGTAAAAAAAGGCATGGCATATTGTAAAGAAAGGAAAGGCATGATTTCCTATGATGAGTATCTGAAACATAATTTTTGTTTAATATTGTATGATTTGCGCTCTCCATTACCTTGTGTTTAGTAAGTCTAACTAATATGAATAATTATTGACACCGTGTGCCTACATTCAGATCCCTCTTGTTACACCACGAAATGGAGAAGATGGATCAAAAGTAGAAACTTCTGAACTTATGGATCAAATATTGAGACAAGAAGAAGAGGTGAACTTTGCACTTCCCAGTACTTTCATTTTTCCAAGTGCTGTATTGAATTGATTCATGCTTGCCTAACTAATTTGAAAAGTAATTTGTATAAGATTTTTCGTTAGGTAGGTATAAATTCCAGGCAAATAGTTAAAGTAAACCTTGGAAGTTGATTACTGGCAAAATTAGTGGTCTAGTCTTGCAAACGGCAACAACTCTCAATAGTGATGAACATTTATGGAATCTAATTCATATTCATTCTATAATTTAGTTTCAGAATACTCATTTCTAAAGGTGGCTCCACAGTGTGGCGCATCGTGCTAAGTGTTAGCGTGGGTTCGTATCCTGTGCGGGGTTAATTATGTGCGAGAGGATTGCTGGACTCCTCGCCGCCGTGCGGTGGTCCAATAACCACTGGTCGGTTATTGCTTTTTCCACCATCAAGTCCATATAACATATAACTGGCTAGCTAATCCCATACCCGACATGGACTGGTAACTAGGACGAGAGGCCGAGGTTTGCCATATGATAAATAGGTAAATCCTATCCTATCCTGGTGGGGCTGATGGTGTATTGCAATACGTATTAAGAATATGATTGCTATTGCAATGAAATGTTGGGGATGAATATGTTATGCATAGCTGATGACATCATAGCTTCATGGCGGTTCACAAAAGTTAAGATATGACACTCTCCTGCAAACAAATAGGGCCGAATGTCCATCCTTGCTGGTAACTGGACGATGGGGTAGTTTTTGTAACAATAAGTCATCTTAATACCTTTCCTCTCCCTTGACATAAATGTGAAAACTCTAATTTTATTTTAAAACTGTTCCTGAATTCAGCACTGAGATCCAATTTTCTTCCATAAGGTTCCTCCAACAAAAGAAGAAAAATCAGTCACCAAAGAAAAGTTGAGTCGACAATCTTCACGTAGTAGTAAGACTGCGACATCAGTACGCAGTAAAGAAGACAAGAAGCTTCGTGTATCTTCATCATTAAGTCAGAGAATGGAGATGGATCGTGAAATAAAACGGTTTGTATATCCTGTTACTTCATATTTACCATGCTTTTGAATATGAATATGGAGCCAAAGTTAGGCAGACAAGTTAGCAAGATTTTCATTGCTCTCAAGTCTGCTTGATATCAGGACATTGGCACTATTTTGTGAGTTTTACATGCTGTTTTATGGAAACGCACTATTCTTGGCCCTTGGCCCGTGATACATTTACACAAGAATTAAAAATTGGATTTTAATATTTCAAGATGAGACAATACGGTTTTATCACAAGGCGAATCACAACCTTTCGTCAATATCGAGATTGACAATAATTAAACATATATTTGTTGATGCATGGACTTGATTTTTGAATTGATATATTAATAAATTTACTGTAATGATGACAAATTGCTTGAAAAAAACGATCTTTCGGATAATATGATAGTCAATGCATATGGAAAATTATGGTAACTAGATAACTTTCCAAAAAACTGGTTTAAACTGGCAACCGGACAAGAGATTGTGATACGCTATATGCTCAAGCTGTTTTCCACCCTGGAATAAATATCCAATCTCCCAACTACTAACTAACCTATTATCTGTAAGCTTTTTCTAGTATATAACAATAATTTTAAATTCTTACAAACCTATTTGTTTGAGATTTCCCTTTTTCTGTTTTGTAAATCATCTATCTGACTTTTCTCTCTTCGGATATTTAAGAATACATATCATATCTGTCATAATTTCACAGTTCTCCTGTGTTTGGAAGTATGCTGGAAGAAATATTAAGTTCAACTATTTCAAATATAATGACTGAAGCTGTAAGAGGAGAAGTCGTATTAACAGCAAGACCTCGTGTAGTTGCTCTTCCTCCATCAACAGTAAAACAACAAAGTCAACAACAACCTTCTCAGAATGAAAAGTAAGTTATGTTTAATGCTAGATTTATTGATACTTCTTTACATGCCTTCCACTTGGAACAAGATTTGTACGAACCACTGGTATACAAGAAGCTATTATAATATTTCAAAAGATTAGGTTCGGCATCGCCTATCAAATTCATTAACCTTTCGTGAGCTCATGGGCAAGAGATTGAGATACAGGATTTTAGGTAATTTGTAGTAGACTTGAACTCTTAATGTAACCTGTGTATGCGATTGGAATGATCATATGGTAAGGAATTGTGGTCCACTACAGTAAGTCTTCCTAACAACATTCCAACTCAAAGATAAATAGGAATTAATCATCCTACTTGAGTATTCTAATATCTACGGTTGATAATTTCTGAATTTGAGGCTTGAATATTCTGTTTTTCAATGAAAAATATGTGTGAAATTCAATTGACTATACAAAACAAGTCTCCTGCATGCAAGACACATGCATGTTTATCCCAGTGCTCGCAAGCTCAAATCCCAAATAGAGAGTTTTGTCACTTATACAATATGTCACAAGTTGAGATTTCACATTCAGTACTTCTATGTCGCATTTTTAAACACCATTGAAGTATTGGCGACATATCATCATTTTTTGTGTCACAGTTACCTTATCGTTCTAAAATTACAACTATTTTAAATATAGTTCCTATGTTGCTTATATAAGTTTTGCATTCTTTAATCAACACTGAACGTCTGGAATTCGAGTCAGAAAATACGAATTTTACTCCAGGCATACTTACTCCAGGCATATGCCAAATCCTACTTCACCAAATCTGTAATCATCCAATTAAAAATTTTACAGAAATGGTTCTCGTTCTGCGTCTTCCAGAAAAACCGCTTCTACTGGTTCAAAGAGGAGAAAGAATCGTTCTCATGCAAGTAGTTCAAGTTCTTTCAGTGCTCCTGCTTCAACTGGAAGAAAATAAAGTTTTTTGTGTGGATATTGTTTCATATTTTGATTTGAGTAAATTTTGTAGACTGTTTTATCTCAGAATATATTTTTTAGATTTATATGTAATTTGTAAGTTATTAAAATGTTCATATTATGAGTGTATTAAGTGATGACAAGTCCTATACAATGTTTGTAGCAAAGAATGGAAGCCACGGTACTGGTACTAGAATAGGATTTACATATTTATCCTGGGGGAGAGGAAAGTCGATAAGACGGCTTAACCATATGGCGAACCACGGCCTCTCGTCCGGTTACTAGTCCATGACGGGTACGGTATGGGATTTGTTAGTTATTTGTTTTCGGAAGCATGGACTTGATGGTGGAGGAAGCCGTAACCGATCAGCGGTTATGTGGACCACCCTACGACGGCGAGGAGTTCAGCAATCCTCTCGCACATAACTATCCCGCATGGGATTCGAACCTGCGAACCCACGCAGAGTAATCAGAGATGCGGTGGCGAGCGTATTCCTAACGCTTAGCACGATGAGCCACACCACCGCGCCACTGGTACTTCAAAGTTTACAGAATATAACTACACGTCACCTTGCTGACGGTTCAACGTTTACAAGAAGATATAAAACGTAAATGAGCGGTTCCTGTCATTCCAAGACTATAAGGGACGCAATTCTTTCTCAAATAACTTTGGTCGTCGGGTGGTGCGTTATGCCGGGTTTTAGCAACGTCGCATCACTGAATGCTCTGCGCAGATTCGAATCCCGTGTGGAACTTTAGCAATCGGAGCAAAAGGATTTCAAAATCATTGTTTTCGTAGAATAATAGACTTATGAAATAGAAAAATACCAACCTAACTAAACGTCACCGACTCACCACCATGCCGGTTGCGTTTTAGAATACTTAGCAAAAAATCAAATCCCCTCGCTAAGGGCTAAGTTATTCAAAATTCACAAGCAAATCTATCCTTAACTCAAAATTTCGTCTCTGAGATTTCACTCTTCTGAGGCTCCTATTAAATCGCGTTGTAGACAATAGACATGAAGCAGAAACTTGCTATAAAATATACTTTCGTTTGCGGACATCAAGTCAGAAATTGATTTTTGTCAAACTTTCACAGAAGTGTAATCGACAGTCTTTGGATCTTTATCCTGCTTATTCCAGTTGGTTGAATGGTTGATTGGACGTATTTAATGCCCAAATTCATATTGCCAATGGCAAATATGACTGGAACTCCCAGCCAGTTATTTCAAGTCAACTTTGTGACGGGAGAGTCAATTAAGTTTCAAGCTACATAATTTCTCAAAAGTTGCATTTTTGCACAGATGTTGATATGCAATTCCGAAGATAAATTTTTCAATATATATTACTTAAAGTGATCCTAATGCTATTACACCAACTGTTGTCTATTTCATTCACATACTTGGTCCAACAACCCGGTAGTTAGCTACGAACTGACGAATTCCTGATACCAAGTCAAATGTTTCCGATAATGTAATATATGTTGTTGAACACACGCCCAATTAATCCGACTAATCTACATTGCCCTCTTTGAAGTTTGAAATACTAGGTATATATATATATATAGCCATATGTAGTATATATTTCACGTGTAGGCTTATATATATATATTAGTGTTCATGTTTATTTAGTAGATTTGACAAATGTTATAATCACCATACCAGTTAGCTCAAAAATTACGGCTTGAATTTCCGTTCTATTCCTTCACCTTCATTTTATCGCGTTCCAAGCATCATTCTGACACAAAATATGTTCAAAACTCTCATGTAGTAGCCTACACAAGTTCCGTTAAAATTTTGAAATTATGTATATATATATAGTTTGACTACTAAAGTATTCTGTAGCATTTACCAAGCATGATAATAATTGGTTTAAATATACCAATATGTTTTTTTTGTAACAAAAATAAGACTAAGAATGGCTAATTGTCGAACTGTGATAAATCGTGCTAGCCGATCTTTTTTTTACCACAGTATCGCATAAGAGTAGGCTATCGGTTGGGTTTTTCGAATAACTATTACTGTCGACCAAAAATGTTTCAAAAACCTGCGTTAGTCAAAACGGATTGCCAGCGATTTTAACTAATTACACGTTTTTATACGAAGTCAAGTGTTTTCTTACATAATTTTGCTGTTGAAAACTTGAACGCGAGGCTTTGTTCTCCAAGGTCTGGTTCTGTCCCAAAAGTGTGGTTTCTTGGATAACATTTCGTCTTAGAGGTTCATTTTCGTTATCTCTTGTCATTAGTTATGCGCTGTTGCGCAAGTATCTGGATTAGAGAGTAATAAACAATAAACACCCTCGAGGTACTTAGGATGGATGGTGAAATGGTAGCATATTGTAAAACGGCAACACCTATCGGATGACATTTTAATCAATGAGTTTCGTTATAAGTAATGGAATAGTGTATATGGAACAGTTTGGCTTCTGAAAATCTAGTGCTTAAACAGAGTAAGAAATATGAAAGACGGTTTGAAGAAATTTGAAATTATGCTCAAAGATATTGACGATAAATTGACTCAAAGTTATAATTTGGGATTGGAACACAAGAAAGTTTGATTCATTCAAATAAATAAGATATACGACAAAAATAAGTTTTGATCGAAAGGGTCATTGCTGCAAAAACGAGAAAACTAAAATATTTGGTCAAAGTTTCGAGAATTTCGAAACAAGCAGCCTGAGGTAATATCAGCATATTATTATAATTGCGATAAAAGCATAGAAACACGCTATTTTTATGACTCACGGTTTTGATACATTGTTTGCATGTACAGTATACAGTAACGATTTTGTCGAGGAAATTGTTATAGAATAGAACCGGACAACATTGGGAGCGTTTTCAAACTGAATCTTTATCATTTCTTGCTTCGCTTGACACCGATATGACCTACTATCAGAACAGAACAATTTATAATAGTGTAGTCAAAAGCCTGATTATCAGTTCAATCCAGCTAATCACTATAATTTGAAAGCATATATGCTTGAAAAGTGTCTTTTAATTGGTGTTGCGGTACAAGTTGCCAAGCAGGTTTTCTTAAAAATAATGTTACACAGAAGAAAGTAGCTGTAAACGTTTTTTTTTTACAAAACTGTGGAGATTAGTAATAATGAATTACACAACTGTAGTTATCTTAATTTTAAACTGAAATTATAACCAAATACTTTGAAACAGATATGAAATACTACTAGAACAACCCGTGTTCAATAAATATAATTTCAAGCAAGCGATTGCAACACATCGCATGGGTTGAATCAGAAGGAAAAATTGAAAATATTTGTGGAAAATAATGCCGATCACTGGGGCCAACACATTGCTACAAACTTCTGAAAATTCAGGAAGACTTAACAAGGTGAGTTTTTAATGAATTTCGAAATGATTTGGGTTTCCTATTCGTCAGGCCAGATTTATCACTATTTGCGACAATGGACGCTTTGCAGAGCAAATCTAAGATCCAATCGCAGCGTGCATTTTCAATACCTTTTTTTAAATTTTTAAGCGTTTGATTTTTAACTGAAAGCTAAAGCTGTGATCGGATTTTTACACATTTTGTAAGAGCCTATATTCTATAGTTTTTGGTATTAGTACCAATTAATTTTCGATCGATGAATTGAAGAAATGAATGCTGTGTAACTAAATATGGTGTTTATAATGGAGTTTACACTGGGTTGCACATTTGCTTCTGTGTGAATAACTAGATTGTTTCAGGTTTAGGCTGTCGTTTCATTCATCGTCGACAGAACACGATAGGTCATCCGCCCTGAGGCGATATTGTGATTTATAATTGCGACACGCTACGACGTACAGTATAAACAGTAATTTTGTCCACACGCCCAAATTTAATTGCCAAACAAGAACTTCCGCATTCTTATCAATTATACCCCAATAAAATTATAAACGTGTATAATTCAAAATTACAGCATATCTTCGTCCATCACCAGAGCAAGCGAATATTATATTATTAATTCTTCTTCCTGAATTGAGACTATCATTTTATTTTTATTAAGCTCACCGGTTACATTAAAGATTTCTTACAACATTTCAACGGCGTTGTATTGGGATATATATATTATAAACGAAATTTCTAGTTTTAAATAACACGATAAGATACTTTGTTCGCGACTATATACCGTGTACTTTACTTGCTTCTAGTAGTTTATAATAAAACTAAAGAGATCTCGAATATATATTCCGACTATTCACTATTGTTATGAATTTCATAGTTATGTTGCCTTGTCCCATTTTCACGGTATATAGAGGCACCACAGAGCCAATATTTCACAACCGGGTGGTTGGGGCGCGTACTTTATTTACTCTAAATAAACCCATGCGAAGCGAATTTTTTCACGGCAAAGCCGATTGATCTGTCCAAAATTGGGAGAACAAGCTGTCACACGTATAACCCGATCTCTCTTTTTGTATTAATAAGAATATAATCAACATTTGCATTTATTGCAAATTATTTATCAAACCGTGCAGCATCGATGCTTAGGCAAAAGTATGTAGTTTGCAGCGTTCACAAACAGATTCGGGTAGTATGCGAACGTTGTATTATATACATATATGTATATATAGTTCTATCAATGTAGTCCTGCTGACATCGAAAATATTGCATATAAACTACTAAAAACGAGAAGGGTGCGCGGCCACGACATAACTACTGATAAACAACCACATCTGGGCTATGTTTTACTAAACTATTTTATGACATACTGGCATCCGATTACAATACCGACGTTGATATAATAGTACAAGTATTTTTACCTAATATTACGAACCAAAGACATTAAAAGAGATTTAGAAGTCTTATAGAAAGTGTATGAAGTTATTTTAATAACTGGTATATGTTAGAACAAATTGATTGCCGCCTAAGAATTCCACTTATATTTTAAGAGTTATAGTTCTATTGGATTGAAATTCATTTTGTTTCTAATGGCATAAACTATAGAATGACTACTTAGAAGTAACCACTAAGTACATTCTACAGGTTGATACACGATATATATTTATTTAGGCTTAACAAAATTTAAGGTTTGATAAAGGCATTGTGATATTGGTAGAGATGGCAGTGAAGATCTAGCAAGGGATTTTATATGATTCTTGTTTTTCATAAATTGAGCTAAATTACTTCATTCAATCTATTCACTGTTTGCTAGCTGCACTCAATACTTTTTATAACGTTCTTATCTCACATAGAGTCATTTCGTTCGTGCGATATTTGGAAGACATTTGTCTTATTTCATTTCTAGATTTTGGTCAGATACCTTTTTGATAGACAAGCAGCAACTTGTTTTTCCAGTACCTTCACTCTAGTTTTGATCTACATGTCCTACGCAATCAAATATCTTCTTTGTGTGTTTTAGTCCACAACCCAATGCGCTTGATTTGACAAAATTCCGTTTTTATAGAAGTACACAAGTTGGAGACTTCACTTTTGGGGTGACAATGTTACATTGAGTTTAGATTACGCACGGGGATGATATTAAATTGCATTCGTAAATGATGATGAGCATAATCTGAAAATATAAATTATCACTAACGCTTTTAGTAATTATTACTATTTTTAATTAAAACCCTGTAATATATATAATATATCCAGTATACCGGCAATTAAAGAAAGGGGACAATTAGCAAATTTAGACTTGTATCCGAAATTATCAACGTAATATTGTATGAATTTTGAGTTTTCGTTAAGACAAATAATTTGATTCAATAGAGATTCCGTAGAAATATTCTGAGAAAACAAATTTAATAATTACTTTCTAATTTCTCCAACATACCAGATTTTATAACAGTATTACTTTGTACGTGTCACCACGTTTTAGCTCTAACTTCATAATAAAACAATTAGTCAATAATTTTACTATAGAAAAACTATTAAAGGTTATTAATTATTATATATATGAATTTTACTTAAAAAATATTAGCCATTCGAATGGCATAGCAGGGTAATAGCGAATATTTTACATTTATCCTAGATTAGTATTATAGCGACAAGCTAATCGCGTTCAACGTCGTGCTCCATTCATAGTCATGTTTGCTTGAACAGTTATTTAATTGATTAACAGCAAAATTACAGTCTTATTTTATTATAAATACCCGTGTGTCGTTTTAAAGCCTACAATTTACAACTTGCCCAGGGTCATTTTCAAATATTGAAAACGTCGTTCAACGCTGCCAATTAAAGTGACTTAATTTTTTCGTGAAGGCAGTTTCTCAAGTTGATGTTATCGATGTGTTCAAAGGCTTAGAAATTGGTAGACGTCTGGGAGAACTCTAATTAGAAACTTATGTGAGCAAGTATTCGCTCCGGGCTCATATTACTTGTGTTGAGGTTAGAGGTAAAATATGCGAGTCGCATTGTGTCAAGTTTTAAAGTAGATTAGATTACAGGTGACATAAAAGTAAAAAATTGATTGTCAGCAACTTTTTATTATATATACATTTTGAAAGATCTGATAGGAGATTGGGAATATTGAAATAAAATGTTAAGAAAAGAGTATTACTAAGAAATATATATGTCGTTTTAGGATGTTTTTGATTCTTTGTTACTTACTGAATTTATTGATGTTCATCTAATTATTTTTCTCCCAATTGCAATTCAAAATTAGTTTATCGGGTTTTTGTTATACTTGCTTTCTCGCTATTTTCGACTGATCTGATTTCGATTTAGTTTGAAAAATGATGAATCAAACAGTAAATTTTCACAGTCATAATTTATTTGCCTTAGCATTATGACTTCTTATCCAATTCAAAAGTTTATTTTTACATTTCTGATGTTTTTAAATATTCTTGATCTCTCGACTGAGAAATCAAACCTATATGGTGCGTTTTCATCAACGATATTTCTGTCGATAATGTGCATCGATATGGACAAATTCAGAAAAATTGTCAGAATGTAAAGCCCAGTTTATAAAAGTCTTAAAATCACGGTGTACCGGTAACAAAGTTTCTTTTCACACTCCGCTCAAAATAAAGTTATACGATTTGGAGAGCAAGGTTTACATACTTTTTTCTCGTAATTTGATCGTTATCGGTTCCAAATGTATCAGTCAAGGTAGGCGAGAAGATATTAGTCATATCATAGATGTAAGCTTATATCATGATCAAATTCAACGGAGATCGACGCAGACATTACGAAGTCGTCTGCGAGTAGACGAAATTACTTGGTATAATGGCCTTTTTGCGACGTAGCAACAATGAATATGGATGTTGTTATTTGCTAAATTAAACTTGCTCAAAATTATATTCTTCAGTAGAAAATAATGGAGTAAAAATTCTTCTATTTGAGCGAATCTTGTAAATTACATTAGGACCTCCTGAAGTATGCGCACCAAGATGGCGCACAACCTGAACTCAGGTTTTGAACCAGGTTAGTGTTCAGGTTATGCGACATCCTGGTGCGCATACTTCAGGATTATTCTCATAGCATGCTTTTGTACATAAAGAATATTATACGAGTGGCTATGCTGCTGCTATGCGTATAGCAAAAATTATAATCTTTTTCTATCCAGCATCGTCTACCCAGTTTATTGGGGGAGTAGCTATGAGTCTTGAGGTCCTATAGATCTGTAACCTGAATGCTTCCAGAGCATCTCTGTATATTACAAAGTTTGATTCAATTCAAACTTGGTTATATTTTCAGCCGACTATTAATCTGTGCCTGAAAAACTGCACTCAAATAAATTAATAAAAACTAACGGCATAATCAATCCTTTGTATGTATTGGCAACAAGCTTGCTTTGACGTCTGAAGCTAACGTTACAATTTGAAATTATCAGACTACAGTTACTGCCTACTGTTTGATATAAAAACTTGGGGTATGTTTATGCTTTCTTATAGTCACTTCAAAAATGTTTATAATTTCATTGAAATTAAGAAATTTGAATATATTTTCCATTTATATATTTAATATTGTTATGCTTGTATTTGTGACATATTTCGTTATTTATGCTCGTGAAAATATCTGAGCAGGTGGTTGGGAGGTACATAATTTGAAAATACTTAATTTGTTCTGGTTTAGAATATTCTATCTTTTCTCTCAAAAATTGAGTGTACATGGACTGGCCAAGAGTTAAATTGTTCTAATCTACGATAAAGACATCATTCGACCAACACATTCCGTTGGGCACATGATAGTTAACCCGTCAATTTTACTGTAACAAATCATTGAACATGTTAACATATTGTAATGTCAGTTTTTGAATAGAGAAAGCAGTTTTAGAAGTTTAAAACTGGGATTATCCTTTTGTTATGTAGTTTATAGGTTGTAGTCGTGAAGCTGAGCGTCTGTTTTTGCTCTTCCACTTTAATTAGCTTGTTATTTGCCTAGGAGCATTTTGAAATGAACGAATTTATTGAAGTACTTGTTATTGTTTTATTGTACATTCTAACAATTGCCCATTTCGTGTCAAATTGTTACAGCATTAAGTTATCGATTTTATGGAATTTCTCCTCAAAATAAGTTTTGTCAGTGGGATGCCGAATTAAAAAACTTATTAAAACTCGTATTTGTTTATTCCAGGGGCGATTGCAATACAGCGCAAACATGCTTCGGGGACGAAAGTTGCCTCCATTTTTCAAATTAACACTGATAGTGTTATGTGCGTATATATTATGGACATTCAACCATCCTGGCTCAGGTATCATTTTTGATTTTTTTTTAATTTAATTGTTAGAAATAGAATAAAAACTAAATAAGAAGCAAAATGAAAAGACTTTAGTAAAACCGGTTTATTATGTGTGTTTAAGTCACGATTTGCAATGCTTGTATATCACGTAACCTCCGTCTGTGTAACGCTGCCCTTAGGTTAAATTGACTTGATTACGTTTTAGGTATCTAAAATACCTAGCGTCGCATTTGCAGGTGATAAGGTCAGGTATGCTGTGTATTTATGTTGATATATTTTGACAAGGATGGATGAAGGAAATTTCTAGAATTCTCAAAATTTTCGCACCGTGTATACCGGTATTTATATTCAATAAACAAACAAAAATTCAATATTTTCAGATAAATTTGGTTAAACATCTAGGATCCGCTATCAACTGTAATGAACGCTGTTTAACTTACTTAAAATTTTAGCTTTTAGTCTTATTTCAGAACTAATTTTGACAGATTTGGGTTCCTCAAACCTTGCTTAAGTTAGACCACTCAAGTATGAATTGACGAACGAAAATTCAAATTTTAACTCTGCTATTGAGCTATTATTCTCTGCTTGATTCCAACCCAAACTATAAAGTATATTTCAGAACAGACTCAAATCGTATTTTTTTTTTCATTTGACGTTTTGAATAAGCTTAAAAGTGTCAGTAACTATAATGGTGTTTATTATCTTTGATTTTGAGCCACTGTTCCTTCTCCAAATGTATCGACACAGAATCATTTTTAAAGATTTTGCTGGAAAAATCTTGATAATCTTTTCCAATCTATCGACCTAATTCCTGCTGTTATTTTTTTAGTTTGTGTTAAATATCTTAATCATATTATTTTTAATTTTATTGATTTATTCCAGGACTTCGAGCTGGTAGATATACGAGAAGCGCTGATGATTATGTTGGACCTATTTTCAGGGAAGAAAGATCTAATGATTATGTCGGACATCAGTCAGATCGGGTAATGTTTTACGAATATTGTAGATAATTCTATTTCTTAGCGTGTGCTTGTGAGTGGATTTTGATCATATGCTTAGAATTAAAAACGCAGTCAATAATGTTATGCTCTGCTAAGATTACTTTACCTTATGTTGATTAAAAGTTTAAAAGTTGAATTTATCCAAACTGTTACAGATATCAAACTTTCGTAAAGTACCGGATGCTTGTAGCGTTCCTTCCAGAAATGTTGCTTTCTTGAAAACTCATAAAACAGGAAGTTCGACTATGTCAAATATTATGCTGAGATTTGCAGGTAATTATATATAAATATTTTAATTTGTGATAACTAATATCGTCGATAATTATTATTGAGTACTTTTAGTACATTCCACACGGTGAAAAGATTTTAATTATATATATACTCTTCTCATTGGAGTCTGAATATTACAAAGCCATATCCATATCCATGTCTTATTGAAATTGCGCACAATGTTTTAGTAATCGTTCAACTGGACACACCAATTTTTCAAGATAGGAATTTCCCAAGCTAATTTGATAAATCTTTTACGTTCAAGAAAGGTAAAAGTGAAGCCAAATTTGAGCTTTGGGTTATGCCAGTATCCAATAATATCCATGAGAAGACCAGAACTAAACCGTGAATTTTTTAAAGTGAAACTAAAGTAAATTTAAAAATGAAATAACTGATTGAAGTTAATTTCAATAACGATATTTCAGGATGCGATACCATCTATTTTACAAAATTAATGAAGATTGCTCGATTAAAATCCAGAAGCTGACCTAAAACGCCAGTCTATCTAGAATAACAACTTTTAGATGTTTAAAAGCGTAGATATCCCCAAAAATTTATGCTATTCGCAGATGACAATAAAATATGATAAATGGGACTACAAAGGTGCCCCGAAGGTTTAATTTAATTCGTATCGGTGTCTGTTCTCGGAAATTTACTTTCATTATTATCAAAAATATGCCACGTACTGTATGTGTGATTCGTATATGCTGCCTGTATGCTAAGATCAAGATCACTGTCCGTTGGTATGTTGAAAGTTCACGTTTTCCGATAATTTGATTATATGCTATTCTGTGGGCGGTATGTTTATATCGACACATTTTTAAAATATTATGTGTCTAGCAAAATGAAAATGTGACCTTCAAAATATCCTGCTCAGCATTTAAAAATACCTTTTTTATTAAATATTACTACTTTTGAAATTAGATGTGTTAACGTTAGTTACGCCGAAAACACCTATCCGTAATTAACTTATCACGACTTCAGATGATTCATTTTATTACGTCAACTTTGAATTTGTGCGTCGTTATGTTTTAATCTCTTCACATTGTTTGTGAAATGAACGCAGGATGACGCATGAAATAAACGAACAACGTCATTTTGAATTCCCAGCATTTACTAAATATAAATAAAATTTATTTTGAACATGAATCTACGTTACACTCGATATCAAATAACATGGCATGGGTACACAAGTAATTGATCCAATCGAAGCATCATATTGTAAGCGACAGCGGAGAAATCGAGGCGCAGTTCTTACCACTTCATGGCAGCTGCTGTCACGAACGAATCGCGCGACTTTTGCCATATGGTTTGATGGCGCTATTCCGTAATCAGTATTACCGGTATATTCACAAAGTCATATACCAGATTTTAGTTCATCATGCAGAATTATATATACTTGAACCTGAAACCTAACCCTAAATTCATCAAAACTGTATCCATAAGAAAAAAGTTCCAACTCACCCAATATTTGTCACTATCAGGGGCAGCCCTGCCATCACAGCCGACATGCCCTGGTTGCGGCAGCAAAATTTTACCCGTCATTGGTTTTCAATTGGCTGCCGTGGTACCGGCATCTTGCCATTGGTTTGTGGCGCCGCTACAAAGTCAGTCGCCGTGGTTTGGCCATAGCGGCCATGGTTTGGAAATCCCGCCATGGTTTTGCGGCAGCTTGAGACGCCACAAAATACTTGAAACTGCACTTGGAGAAATCTTTGAAAAATTTAAGCATAATTTTTTATGTTAACTTTTTTCAGATACTCATAATCTCACAGTAGGTCTTCCTCTGAAGGATCATTGGGAACTGGGAGGATATCCAGCCTATATTGATAAACGATTGATTGATCCATCACTCCCAAAATATAATATTTTAGGACACCATTTCAGGTAAGGCAAACGATTTCAGTAACCAACAAATACTTTAATATTAGCTCTAATTGAAATTAACAACCCACTATAGATTAATGCCATTTCCTCACACACACTAACTACAACAAGATTGAAATTTGCCAATTCCACATAGTAAAATTACCCACAAAATGAAATTATTGTGGCTTTTACGGAGGGGTTGGCTCATAATAAAACGAAAATGGGTGGAGCATTGGGCCACATAGCAGCAAGGTTTTAACAACATTATCGGTGAAAATGTATAACACTGATGCGACATATAGTATTATGAGTCTTTCTATAATGTCCCATTGCCCCTTTAGCACATTTCTCAATGAACCAGAGAAATACACATTAAACTTCATAATTTTTGTTTAAATTTATTGTAAATATATTTTTATCTCTAATAATTAGATTCAATATTAAAAAGTTGAGAGATTTCATGCATGACGATACAAGATATATCACAATTATCAGATCTCCTGTGGACAACGTCGAATCAGTATTCGGATTCTTTCAGGTTCGGTCTTAATTTTAAATTTTCAACTATTAAGTATAATATATTAAACGTTCATGATCACAAAGTTCAAAAACATTAATATTTCATTCAATAATAGTAAATTCGAAGAATACAAATACAATCCAAATACGTCACTTTCGTGAAAAAATATACCAATATGCCATTTCAGCACCGTTACAATTCGTCCAAGTTCTTGAAAGCGGTATATTTGTAAAGAGTGTCCAGTACAAGGAAGGAAATCAGTCCGTTTTTAACAATCAAGAATCCAAACGAATCATACTGTTTGCCACGATTTATTGCTTAGTCAACGAAATCCATATACTTAAAATCATATTTCCAAATAAATTCGGTTGAGAACTATTTTCCCCAAACCGATCCATTTGCCACCGTTGTTCAGTGAACGAAAAAGGCATTATCCAAAGAAAACATTGCGTAATTTAACTGCGCAGTATATATATATATATAATATATATCAATACGAAGTATCGTAAGGTCGCGTATGAAAATATGTCGGTTGCAAGGTATTTTAAAGCTGCCATTTTGAATAAAAATCTTTGGTTCTAGCAAAATATAAATTTTGAATCGGAAATGAAATTCCCAATGTTGATATCCTACACTAAATAAATATTTATTGTAAAGTTATGATTGCATTTTGAATACATAGAAGATGTCGGCAGTTTGTTACGATAAGCGTGTGTGCCGCTCTTTGGTGGTTAGCCAGCCCGATAAGCGATTGTGCACTAATATCCATGAAAGTTTGCGAATATTCGAAAGACATTGCGGTGCATTTGCAATCCGTAATTGAACCACATAATCCAAAGAAAACCAAGTAGGAGAAGATTGAATGAGATTTGCACACCTCTACTCCCAATGCCTATTGTTGGATCTATCTTGGTTGTAATATACTCGAGGTTAAAACAGTATCACCTAAAGTGACGTTTTGTCAAAACATCTGATTTAGTTTTTTTTTTAAATAATTAAGGCCAAACTTTTATTTTTCTTTCCTACTGAACTTAATCCAAATATATATTTATTTATTTAGGATCAACTACCTTTCATCGACTGGCTGGAAGGTGTTGAAGCAAACACCGCATTGAGGTTGAATATGTTTTATGATAACCCAGGAAAATATTACAACAAAAAGACTGACTGGTATTTCAGAGCCAAAAATCATATGTTCTTCGACATCGGGTACAATTTTTATCTTATTTTTTTTTATTAAAAATTAAGACATAAAAAATACTCAATAATAATTTAATTGTGGAAGCATGACAGGCAGAATTAATTTTTCACAGAATTCCAATTGAGTTTATTTTTCGGCAGAAGCATGGTCTAATAAACGAACCTTCAACATATGAAACATGTAGTTCTTAAAGTTGAAACAAGAAAATCAAATGACACTAATATTCTTTGGCGAACTAGGCTCCATCTGGTTCACAGAGACAAAGATTTGGAATGAGTTTTATTTGCTCAGGCCTAATTCCCAACCGAATCCGACCACACCTTGCATACTTTCATCTTGGTTGATTTTAGGTTCCATGAAAATATTCAAGTCATAAAATGCTCAAAATTATTCCAATGAAACAAAATTATTTCGATTTTTTGGCAGTAAAAAATAGAAAATGCAACAAGAACATTTGAATAAATATATGTAGCCTTTTCAAAATAAGATGAGTTGCGTTGTTTATTTCACGAAAGGGCAAACTCGAACTTTTTTTTTCTAAATCTAAGATATTTGCTGAACTTTTGCAATAAAACAGTTGAAGTTTTTGAATCTCGTAACCAACCTTTCTAGTTGCTTATCGATCTTAAGATCGGTAAGTATGTTGATAGGTATTTGTCTGTATGTATGTCTGTTAGATGAACGCGAGATCTCAAGAAGGCGAGGTTTAATCTGCTCCAAATTTTGCATGTGCATTCATCACATCTCGGACCAGAAGCCTATGGATGAATTATGTCGTATAATTAGCGAGTTATAAATTAATTAGTGATGGGACACGCGGTGTCACTATAGAGTCATGATTTGAAGCCGCAGTTTCGATCGATGAGTCTTCGGTCTCCGACCGATATTCTCGTTTTTAATATTGTGCCCTAAATTTGACATTCATCTTCATATGTTTTGTTTGCTAGATAAAATCTAATAACTCATTATCTATAGTTTATTTTTATCTTTTGTTCAACAAAGTAATGAGGTAGTTTGGCTTCATTTTATTTCGATTTAATACATGGCAATCGAGTTCTTATGTGAAGTACAACATGATAGAAAAGTTATTTATCACATACGAGCCCTTTTGTAATATGATTTAAATAATTTGCAAGCCGTCATTAATTCGCCTAGAACAAAATTAGCCTAAAATCACGTTTGAGTGAAGTGGTTGTCAAATGGTATATATAATTTAAATGAAATTTGGCAGATAAAGAATCACGCGTCAACACAAAATTGCATATTGTAAGCTGTGACATAGCCGAAGGCATACGATTATAATATAAGATTGGAGTCTTCTAGGAATTTACAATGAACACACCTCAATTAAATATACAAAGCAGTATCGTTGCGTTAAGAGAAAACGTTAAAAATTGTTTCAATTTGAAGCTAATAAATAAACAAAAATAGTTGTTTTCTAAAACCTCAAAGATTACCCAAAGTTGATAACATGGATGTATAGCCCAGTTCTACTGTATTCGACTCCAACTCATTATTTCATGGACACAGCGCCGACTCCCAATTTTAAAATTAAAATTTTTTTTTACATCGATTGCATATTTAACTATTTGACTACTATAAGGTTAGAAGCATAAGATCAGAAAATAATAAAACGACTTCAAGAAGTTCATAGTTTTGATTTCTGACTACGAAGAATTCGAACATACAATTTTACCTATTAGTACACCGGCATAATGTCAAACTGCGACTCCGCCTGCTCGATTTAAGCTACGTTAAATGCAGATAATGAGCATGGGAGCTTTTCATGATATCATCACACTTTTTTCATGTTAACAGTTACGATGTCAGCAACGATGATACAGCTTTTATAGACTCTAAAATTCAAGAAATGGACAACACATTCACTCTTGTTTTACTAACTGACTTCTTTGACGAGTCACTTATAATGATGAAACATTTATTATGTTGGGATTGGGATGATATTATTTATATCAAATTCAAGATGAGAACAGACGATGCTAAAACGGAGGTAATAATAAGATTTATTATTGCATATGGTGTGTTTTTGAAACTTATTATTGTATTTGAGCATTATGGAACCGACATTGTACTCAGCATCAAATTCAGTTTCAATTTTAGTTCTAAATTTATATTCAATATAACCGATACCCTTCAACATATAAAATATTATGGTATTGAACAGTAATCGACTTGACCTTTTCAATTTGAGCAAATTTGAAAATATTTATGCCAAGTTTTTTTTTTAATATTCTTTAACATATATTTTATTAACTTATTGTAGGTAAACCCAGACCTCGCCCAGAAAATATTAAATTGGAATAAAGCTGATGCCAGATTATATGACTATTTTAATAAGACATTTTGGAAAAAAGTTGATGCTTATGGAAAAGAAAGAATGTCGGACGATTTAGAAGTTTTTGAGAAAAAGCAGAAAGAGGCTGAAGATTTATGCATCGATTCGTATCAACCATTCAAGAAAAAGCCTTGGATTTTAGGAGCAAAACTTCGAAAGAAACCTTCACCTTTTTGTAGAAATTTAGCTGCATCAGAAACAGTTTATGGTGAAAGACTCAGAGATAAAATGTATTCTTCTATTACACATCTAACAGAACAACAGGAGAACGAACGAAACGATTTGTTCAAGAAAGTTGCAGAAGGGGCTTTACAAAGCACGTGAAATGTTCTGAATAAATTCCAATCTATAGCAAATTTAAACTCAATTGATTGATATTTATAATAGGGTAAAAAACAATGTGAAATTGTACGAAATGCCTGAAAATGCGCTTTGCAGGTCTGACCTCATAACGAAGAACATCAATTATGGCATAATGACTTTGGACGAGCAATCTCTTTTTTAAACAAGTCCAACAATTTGGACTTTAGGATTACGGACTATGACCTGTTTTCTGATTTCAAGTCACCGGTTTGCAGGTACGTTCATCCGTTCCAAAAAACAAATTATGCCTACCCAGGCTCTTATTGCTTTAGACATGACTTGAGGTTGTGCCTTTTTTTAATCGGATATTTTGGATTATCACTTTATTACAAATTTAAAAAACTGGGGAAAAAAATCCATATTAGAATAGAGAAGTCTGACTTTCTAGAATTCCTTTATTGATAAACAATTGAAATGGATCTATTTTACGACCAATTTATACTTACTCGGATTTTAATTAACAAACTATAATACTGTACTTCGTTTTAACCGAAAGCATTTAATAGAAATTAATTAAATATTTTTTTAACAAATATTTCTGATATCTCTAACACGTTGACACTGAAATTCAACATGTGTATCAAATCACAAAAAAAATTATATTTCGTTTTCGATTTATCTGAAAATTAAAGTATTACAAAAAATATATAACTTATTATAGTGGGATATCACAAAATTGTATACTTGCTCATGAAAAATCTATTCTGCACTGTATTTGCATTTACTTATATGAATATATGTTTTTTTTTCAATTGTCATGATGAATAAATCGAGTAAGTTTTTGTGATTCATTTCCTTTATTGTCAGTATAAATTGTAACGTATTAATTTTAAGAACATTTCAATTTTGTGAATTTGTAAAATATATCTGGTACTGTCCATAGGTGTAAGTTCCGTCTATGGCACAGTTTCAATCTGAAATCTTTGAATGATGAGATTTTATGAGTTTTAAATTATAATGTGCAAAGTGCCAATATGGTCTTATTTTTATGTTTGTGATTTTGCTTGTTTGAATAAAATGCTTGCTAGAAATCAATGTTGCGAGTTGATGCTGGGGACTGTTTTTATTGAGTTAGTTTCAATTTGAGTTCAAAACCAGCACAAAAAAATTTCTTAAAAGCCACCACAAGTTATTTTATACCCATCGTTGAATGAAAGTAGATCTAGTACTTAATAAAAAAACCTGCGGATTCTCAATTGAAATTTTTATTTTGGTTTTGCAGAATGATGCTCACGCAAGGTTTGCGACGAATGTTTTGATATAATGAAAGTATTCTTTATTAATGTCATTAAATAATATTTCTTTTATGTTAGCTGTCTAAGCTATATTCTTTATTCGTATTTTTCAGCTCTGAGAAAAGACAATTTATCATGTCCAAGAACAGGCTGGCCGATTCAATAGTTTGGATCTCTAATTCTAGTAAACTTCTGTCCTGTTTTCTTCATGTGCCAAATCTGTTGCAGTTATAGGCGATGGTGGCCTTCTATATCAATCTGTTCTCAGTTGACTGTTAAGGGATTCTTTCCTCGTTGCGTAGTTATTTAGATTCTCGTTGTATTTTGTGCGTTGTCTTCCTCTGCTTTTGACACCACGAATCTTTCAACATAGTATTTGCTTTTCTATCCCATCTGCTCTGGTAATGTACCCAAATTATTTTAGTTGTCACTCCCTGATGGTTTTAATTAGGTTTTTCAATTAGATTCTGTACCCGGCCATTTCCACTCCTTCTTCGCTCGACATTTTTTCGTCCGTAATATTCTCATAATTCTTTCGATATACCACATTTCTGCTGCATCAAGTCTTTTGTCAGCGTCTAGCATCCACACCCGTGCAGAAGGATGCACCAGGTCAAGGCTGTGTGGGCTTTTAGAGTCTTGATTTCAGTGTTAAGCCTTATATTTCTGTTGGTAGAGAAAGATTTCATCTTGGCGAATGTGTCGTTAGAATTAGACGAAGAGATTCCCTTCTGTATTTTTGTCTTGCATCTGACATATGTAGTTATTGTGAATCCCAAATATTTCAAGGTCCTAGCTAGTTTTTATTCTCTCCCCTTCGCATAATATGTTACATACAGGCATGTCTAGTTCTTTTGAGATTACCACAAACTCAATCTTCTTTGCATTCAGTTGAAGTCTTTTGTTTTCACTTTCGATTGTGACTTTTGTAAGTTTTTCACCCGAGGCGGCAATTAGCACTGCGTCATTGCGTATCTGAGATTGTTTATGTTATGACCACCTACTTTGACACTTTCATGCTGCTCTATGCTCCGTAGAATCATTTCGAAGCGGGATATTAAAGAGGTCAGGCGTAAAAACGCAGAATTGTGTTTCTCTTCTACAGATCGGTCTGTACTCACTGCAGTTATTATTAACTTTTATTGCAGCTTCTTGTTCCCATTTTAAGTTTCTGATCACTCTAAGAACTTTTCAATCACAGTTATGTCTTAGTGAAATGTATAACGAGTTCACCATGTCAAGTGCCTTCTAATATGTTTATTTGTAGATTTGCTGTTGTTTTGCTGTCCTTAGCCTTTCTAGCTTAAGCTCCGTTGTAGCACATGATTGCTGCCACAATCTGCTCCAGGCATGGGTTTGCTGTTATCGAGTATCGACATCGATCCTGAATTAGTATAAAGTTGATCTAATTTCGCGTTCTGTCTCCTGGGCTTTTTCATGTCCAACATCTTCTTGGATGATTTTTAAACCAAGTGTTTATTGTTGTTCGGTTGTAATCTTTACAAAATTCAATGAGTTTTCTTTCCTTTTCCGATTGATCCTACTGCTGTTTTTTCACTCCCCACCTATGAATTTAAGTCTCTTATTACAATCTTAATGTCCTGTGACCTAAATGGTTTCATTGCTTTTTTTAACCGTTTTTGTCTGCAGTTGGAGCATATATTTGTATGAGGTCAATGTCAAAGGGTTTACCTTGAAGTTTAACAACGACGGCTCTGTCGCTGACCGTTGAAAAAAAAAACCTTGATGGATTTAGAGGTTTCTGGGTCGAATAGGTTATTATTTAGGGAACATTTATATTTTGGTATTATTTCTGTATTGCCGTTGTTTCTGATCTGATCTTATGAAGAAGACATACTCCTGGTACCGAATACATATATTGCAATTGTATATTTACAAATACAAAGAACAGTTCCAAGTCATGACTGATAAGTCACATAAAATCAAAGTTTCACTGCAAGCCCGAGTTCGTTAATTACTTGTCCATCGTTATCCTTTTTTTTCTCTCCTAACGATTGGTCGCTTTTATGCTGGTTTTGGTATCCTTAGGGCATGACGCGTTATCGTCATCGTACCTTACAGGACGTCTAATTGTTACGTATTTTATGACTGAGAGATTGCTTCTAATTTTAAGATTAGTATGACTTTAAGTCTAAACACGTAACTTAATCAAAAGCAGCAAAATTACCCAATATCCTATACTATGCACCTACTTTAGCTGCGGAGCAGTGGCCAAGCTTGGGCGTGCAGTGAAAATATATACAAAAAATGCAACAAAATTCATAAAAACATAAGAAAGTTGAAATTATGATTATGAGACAGAATGTGTGTGTGTTATACAGTGTATGGAAAGAAAAAGATTTGGCGTTGGTTTATTTTATAATTTAGGTGACAGATTACTAACAATGCTTAGCTTTAATACACTTCGTTTCACATTAATAAATTTTGAAGCGCTGAAAAAAATAAAAAAAATACGCGTGTTGCGTTTATGAGCCTTTCCGGCTATAATTGTGATGAGCCTCTTTGGGCGTTTAAAAATAAAAAATGATGAGAATTTCACTTGCGTTTATGCAAATGCATCCCGAAGCGCTGATTCGAAATACGATCGTATTTGTAATCATATTTTGAAAAAAATGTTAAAGTCAACGTAAAGTATATTTAAAGAAAACGAATGCTAATATCTGCCAAAATCGAATAAATTAAATATTTTTGAGTAAACCTCGTTGGGTTTAATACCAAATATAGAACGCCTTAAAGATTAGAAAGAAGGAAACGTGAAATACCTGTGAAGAAGAAGAAGAATGTCTGTCCATTTTGTAAACGAAATTGAAATATTTATAGTACAATATAAAATGCTACAATCGCGCGGTTTCTTGAAGTTGGTTCGCGGGCGTTTCTTTCTGAAGTTCTTTCGTTTCATATCTTTCTCATTTGTTTTTGTAGTCAAGAGTTCCGACTAGTTTTTGATTTTACGGTTTTTTTTCTGGTGTAAAACAGTTCATATAGTGTGAATGTTTTATACACATATTTTTATAACAGTCCATAGTTCATATAATGTGAATCTCATACACATTTTAAATCTAACAGTCTTTTTCTTTTTGTCAGAGTCTTTGGTATTTCGCTTGTAATTCCTTGATTTTTCATACTGTCTGAATCTTGGTTTGGTGGTTATTTTTCATTTTCCTTGATCTCTTTATCCTCGGCTTGCTTGTGAAGTTGATGTCTTTGGGGTCACCTTTAGTTCTAACGGTTGCTTTTCAGACTCCATCTCAGAAAGGCGCTGGTTCGTCTGTCGGGGATACCATTTTTAGGGAACATTTATATTTTTTTTGCTCCAGCGCCTTTCTGAGATGGAGTCTGAAAAGCAACCGTTGGAACTAAAGGTGACCCCCAAAAGACATCAACTCCACAAGCAAGCCGAGGATAAAAAGATCAAGGAAAATGAAAAACAACAACCAAACCAAGATTCAGACAGTATGAAAAATCAAGGAATTACAAGCGAAATACCAAAGACTCTGACAAAAAGAAAAAGACTGTTAGATTTGAAATGTGTATGAGATTCACATTATATGAACTATGGACTGTTATAAAAATATGTGTATAAAACATTCACACTATATGAACTGTTTTACACCAGAAAAAAAACCGTAAAATCAAAAACTAGTCAGAACTCTTGACTACAAAAACAAATGAGAAAGATATGAAACGAAAGAACTTCAGAAAGAAACGCCCGCGAACCAACTTCAAGAAACCGCGCGATTGTAGCATTTTATATTGTACTATAAATATTTCAATTTCGTGTACAAAATGGACAGACATTCTTCTTCTTCTTCACAGGTATTTCACGTTTCCTTCTTTCTAATCTTTAAAGCGTTCTATATTTGGTATTAAACCCAACGAGGTTTACTCAAAAATATTTAATTTATTCGATTTTGGCAGATATTAGCATTCGTTTCCTTTAAATATACTTTACGTTGACTTTAACATTTTTTTCAAAATATGATTTCATACGATCGTATTTCGAATCAGCGTTTCAGGATGTATTTGCATAAACGCAAGTGAAATCCTCATTTTTATTTCTAAACGCCCAAAGAGGCTCATCACAATTATAGCCGGAAAGGCTCATAAACGCAACACGCGTATTTTTTTTATTTTTTTCAGCGCTTCAAAAAATGAAAAGGATAACGATGGACAAGTAATTAACGAACTCGGGCTTGCAGTGAAACTTTGATTTTATTTGACTTATCAGTCATGACTTGGAACTGTTCTTTGTATTTGTAAATATACAATCGCAATATATGTATTCGGTACCAGGAGTATGTCTTCTTCATAAGATCAGATCAGAAACAACAGCAATATAGAAATAATAGCAAAAAAATACAAATGTTCCCTAAAAATGGTGACCCGACAGACGAACCAGCGCCTTTCTGAGATGGAGTCTGAAAAGCAACCGTTGGAACTAAAGGTGACCCCCAAAAGACATCAACTCCACAAGCAAGCCGAGGATAAAAAGATCAAGGAAAATGAAAAACAACAACCAAACCAAGATTCAGACAGTATGAAAAATCAAGGAATTACAAGCGAAATACCAAAGACTCTGACAAAAAGAAAAAGACTGTTAGATTTGAAATGTGTATGAGATTCACATTATATGAACTATGGACTGTTATAAAAATATGTGTATAAAACATTCACACTATATGAACTGTTTTACACCAGAAAAAAACCGTAAAATCAAAAACTAGTCAGAACTCTTGACTACAAAAACAAATGAGAAAGATATGAAACGAAAGAACTTCA